TCGCTTTCGGAGCTAGATGTACTTGTTTCATGTGCAATCGTATAGGCCATGATTTTGGTGAACCCTTGCTTAACCATGTCAACTAAAGGAGTTCCGAGTCGCTGTGCGAGCGACCGAACACTATCATAACGCCCTCGCATGATCTCCAATGCTGTAGTCTCGGCCTGTGCTTCCCGGAGGAGAGAATCCAGGCTCGGGAAACCAAATATTTCAAATGGAATGTCTTCGATAGCATCCAGTTCTAGCCAGGTATACAAAAGCTGGGGGCTGAAAATGTTGAACAGTTCCTGAGGAGATGACAAGCTGAGGGCTTTGGATACCCTCTCCAGGCATCGTTTTGCGTACTTTGTTGACTGCATGATCTTGCCCGGAGTCTCAAAAATGTGATATGTACATCGTCTAAGCAGCGTTGGCCAGCGACACGCCAGCTGAGACAACACAAATAGTCGGAAAGCAATACCCTCGATGGCGTCCGGATCGGTAGGAAGGCTGTTCAGGACATCTACGAAGATGTCGTCATGCATCTTGAGGACATAGATGCCGAATATATCTGGCAAGGCAGACCCAACGAAGTGCTTGACAGCCAATGTCCCGTTTTGCATGACGAACAGTAGTGTCGTGCGGCAGGAGTCAAGACCAAGGTCGCTTCCGTACTGCGGGTTGATTCGCAGAAGCGAAAGTAGCAAACTCGCGAGAGACATCTGTGACTTGGGAGACAGACTGTTTTTGGGAAGAGAGGCCTTCACAAAGTAATTGTACAGGTCGCCAACGAATGAGAACACCTCGTGTTTCTCGTCCATCCAGACCCGTATGAGACCCTCAAGAATTCTCAGGCTGGTCGAATGGGCCACTTCGCAGCACGTGTATTCTGATTCGCCAATGACATCTCCGAGCTTTTCGACGACTCGCAGAGCATAATCTGGGCCAATGGGCAAGTCAGAGGCAAAGAGCTCCGATAGCATTGAGCTGCATAGGAGAAATTCGTCATTGGGGAGGAGCAGTAACTGATCGAGAAACTCTTGCGGAATAAGGCCGACCTGCGAAGCATCCTTGTGCATCGTCTCGAAAAGATATATGCGTTGCATGGTGTCTTGGCAGAAGGCGGCTGAATCTAGAGCCATTGGAATGTTCAATCGAGGAATATCGAGAGTTTTCGCGGCAACACTTGTCCTGCTTTCCTGTGAATCAAATTCATCGTCCAGGTCCATGATATCGTGACTTTGCCCAGATGCTTGCCGTGCGGTTCGTTCGTGACTGCCTGCTGCTAGAATTGTCAAGAGACGGAACAAGGGAGTGTTTTCCTTCGACAACGTAGCTATCTCTGCTGCGTTGAGAACTGGAAGGACAGTGCGCACGATTTTGAGCATGACTTCAAAAAAGACTTGGTTGTCGCCAGACTCGAGAGCCGCACTGATGCTGGTCCCCGAAAGTTTGGCAAGTGTCGACTCGATATCTCGCGACTGTCCTGAATTGAGATCGACGAGCTGAGAGGCAAGCATTGTGCCAACAGTGTTTGCTGCAAAGAGACTGTGAAGCCTGTCTGGCGAGACTGGTGCGCCCCCTTCTGGTCCCCTTCTGTTCCACAAGCCGCAGAGCTCTTGCAATTCCTCAAGCTTGGGGAACAGAAGTTCCAACACCAGTTTTCTCGAAGCATGAAAAGCTGCCGGATCACTGACTTTGATCGATTCAGTCACCGGAGCCTGGTTACAGCCTGCCATGACTGTTTTTTCTGTCTGTGGTTGCTCCAACAGTAGCAAGTATCGCGTCAGGGCCGAAATTTGGCATTGCGCCTTCCAGGTTTGGCAAATTGGTCCTCCGGATACGGCTACTGGCGCTGTGAGAGGCACAAGCTTTGCACCGCAACATGCCTGAATGAGATTGACCAATTCAGGGACTGGAGCGTGCATTGAATAGAGAGAAGCGTAACTCGGGTCGGCTATCATGTAGTTAGATTCATGTACAGTATTCTTGGACACAGCGAACTCACCTGGATTCCATTTCAGAAAGGCCCAACGGATAATATGATGGCTTGTAGATTGACTAGCGTTCGGCAGTTTGACATTCCGAAGAGCCAACAAATGTAGCATAAGGATGATCGAAGAGTCCACCAGAAGAGCCGGGCCGTTGACATCAGCAGTGGTAACCATGCTGTTGATGTCGTCCGAGATGTCGTGATACGGGACTAGTTCTCTTTCGAGGATCGTGTGCAGGAGAACACTAGCCGCACGACAGGTGCTGGCAAGGCTGGTTGCTCTGGCAGCGATCTGCCACACATGCTTCCACGAAGTTGATGCGTTGCCTAAATCGACGTGGGATACAGCGCAGCTAAGAGCATTATTAGTAAGTAATCGTTGCAACCGGCCTTCATTGACTTAACCTACCTGGCACAAGCCAACATAGCCCATGATGACACAGAAGTATCTTTGTCGCCAACAAAAGCTGCAATGTCCGAGAAAATGTCTGCGGCTTCTCCCGATGAGAAAGTGCCGAGTCCGAGCAGGAAAGGCACAAGCTGCAAAGAGATTCTCTGTACGGCCGAACTGGGCGACTGTAACTTCTCTTGCAACCGCGTCCTTGGACTCTGAGTTCTGCGCTTCTTGCGGGGTTGCTCGTCTGGTGACTGGGACCTAGCACGTCTGTGGCTCTTCCAGAGTATACGCTCTAGGATGGCAATATTCTGCACTAGGGCCCATCTTCTCTCACCGTCGCGATTGTGAACGCGTAGACCAAACAAACTCATTCTAAAGTAATCGTCCGGCAACCTAGAGACGAACGTGAGGTCATCTAGTTGGAGTTGCGATCTTGGGTTTCGTCTGGAGTATTCTAGCCACAGAGACTCGACGAGGTCTTCAACATCCTGCCGAATAGCTTCGTTCTCGCCGTGACAAACAATATGTTCGAGGTGTAAGTGGACGATGAATATTGTCTTCAGCATCTCATCCCTGACCGAGTTCAGCATTTCATCCTGAGAAACGGTTCTAGCTTGCCACCAGTGGCAGATTAGTGGCACTAGGTCTCTGGCTAGATTGCTGGCTTGAGAGATGTCATCTGTTTGGATCCCGGCCAAGAGGACATTGATGGAGGCGAAGCTTAGCTGGATCACCTGACTTAATCCAAGGTGACGCACTTGCAGAACTTGCGTGAGTGTTTTGGACAGTTCTCGATATCTTTGACCCAGCGGCGCGTTGGGCGGAAGAAGGAGAAGGTAGACACAGTGGAGGAGGTCCTGGACGGTGCCGCGATGGATTTGCCCCGGTATTCTTTGACTTGCGTTGGTGCTCCTGGCAGTAGAGAATCCCATCGATGCCGTACCCGGCGCCGGAGAAGCACGAGAGCCAGAGTCTCGGTCCCGATCAGCATTCTCTAGGTAGTGTTCCAGGGCGGCGGTGCAAAAGTCGACGCAGGCAAGCCAACCGTCGGCACCTAACGTGGCAAGGTGCTCGGCGTTGGGTTGATAGGAGAGCAGCGCTACGAGGGCCTTGACGTAGTCTTTCAGGAGCGGCTCGACGTACGCCTCGTCGCCATGACCAGGTCCAGGCTCGGGGAGGCTCTGCGTGATATGGTCAACAAGGGCAAGCATCGTCTTTCGCTTTAGCTTAGTAGCCCCATGGCTAACCGCGAGCCGGACAGCCTCGGAACATTTCGCCAGCCTCGCCCCTGCCCCTGCTGCCGTCGTCCTCTTCCCTCCGAAATAGCTCTGCTTTTCTTGTACTACACACCGGAACACCTTCTCAAATATGCGATGATAGTGTTTGTCGCCCAGTGAAGAGAGGCTTGCGCTCTTCCCTTTCTTATCTAGCAGGAATATCAGATCTACGGGTTGTTAGTCTTCCCTAATGCTGGGTCTTCACGACATAAGGCCTCGGCGAGAAGAATATAGATACCCAAAGAGTGTGAAGTCTGGTGTCAAGCGGCGTGGAAGGTGGCAGACGTGGAAGATTTGGAACCAAGAAACAACAAGGATGAAATAAAACGCGAGGGCTTACCATCAAGACCTGCCCCACGCTCCTTGAGAGTACCGTCGGATATTGCATCTGCCACCGGATGTAAGCTAATATGCCAGTATACACGATGAGGGGGCACTAACCTAGAGCAACATGGACGGTGACTTCGCCCGTCTTAGTCTTCGAGGGCGCCATCCTTGCTACTATTGACCAGCTCTGCTGGTTGACATGGCGATTTGTGGCGTCTGGCTTTCTGGTCAGCGGATGGTGGAAGAGAGAGCAGACCGGTCTTATACGAGAAGAAGGAAGGAGGAAGACGCAGATGGAATTGCATAATGTGTTAGGCAGGGGCGGACAATGAAGGACAATAACGGCAGATCAGGCACCTTCTGAGGATCCAAACGTCCAAATGTACCTTGCCACCTTAATGTCTAGGTATGAGTACCTACCTACCTAATGATATGAGCAGTATGATTTTCCAGATTGCCACTTGCCCGATGCATCAACCAGGGCGGACGTAGTCAAGTGTGACGCGGTGATAGATCGGGTATGTAATGGGTCTGCGACGGTCGCCCTCGCGCAAACGGAGCTTGAAGCTGACGGCACTGACACTGACACTGACACTGACAAGTCCAAGATTGGGGTGTGGCTAAGCTACGGAAATCTGATCCCCGATGCTTTGAACTCGTCCCTCCTGTAGTTGTGAGTTGTGGAACAGGGTTCAAGGGCAATGCTTCTAGGCGGGTAGGTTTTGCATGTTTGGGAATCGCAATGTCAGACGCGGCACTTCACAGCCTAGGTAAGTGCAATCAACACAGCTCTTTCCGGAAGCTCCCTGAAGCTCCTTGACTCCCACCCGATCCCTGCCTCTCTCAAAAAAAAAGTGGCGGCAGAACCCCCACCACCTGCTATACATGGACTAGTTCGGTACGTATCTTGTTGACTACGGCGCGGAATATTGATGATTCCCGCGAATTCTCTTGACACAGCAACCAGAGACGCAATCGATTGGACCAGCCAGCAGCACCAACCAGCCCAGATTACGCGCCTGCAGCACGGCTAACAACCTCCACTACCTGGATTGACACCGCACCTGATGGTGGTGCGTGTGAGGTACAACTTCTGAAGTGATCCACTCTAAAATTCCCGGCATCTCGAAAAGCATCGCCTGCGCCGACAGCCACGACCAAGCAATCGAGCAAAACCCCGTCGCTACTCGCCAACGCGACCGATTCGCGGCCTCCTCCTAGCCCATGACACTACCAGTTCTAGAGGCCATGCAATAGCGCGCCCAACCCTCACAATGGCCGAAGTAACCACCCTCGATGCGCTGCAGCTTTTCCACCGCGACTTAGCTGCCGTTCGCAACGGACGTCCTGAAGGCGTCGAGTCCTTGGACAACCCCGAGATCCACGCCTTGTTCGAAACGGAACTCGAGAAAACATGGCAGAGGCCTCAGAGAGATGAGAAGAGTCGGCAGGCCGTCAAGTCCGGTTAGTTGATAGCTTGCAAAAACGTCAGTCCGACTCGGACACTGACCTAGGGTAATGCGCCAGGCAAGCTCGTCATCGACGAAGAAGAATACGCTCTCAACGAAGAGTTTCAGCAGATTGTACTCAACCTTGCCGATGAGGCCGAGATTAATGAAATCGAAGCGACGCGATGCCTGCTCGACGCAAAAGATGATCCCGCCAGTCTAGGGCGCTCGCTGCTCGAGTGCGGGCTGATTCGAGTTCATCAACAACGCAAATACACCCTCGACATTGTACGACTGCTGATGGAAATTGACGCGTTGGATGAGGAAGATGTCGACCCAGAGATACTCAACGTCGTACAGATGTGCTTGTCAGCGACTGTGTTCCATAACTTACCCGGCGAAACTGCTTCGTCACAAAAGAGACTACTCCCAAGGTGCATGTCAGCGATGCAAGACGTCCGGGCTTGGCTTCAGAAGATCGCCGACAAGATGACAGCAGCGGCCGTATTGATCAACGGCAGAGGCGGTCAGGTCCCGGAGGAGATGGAGACGATTGAGTTTTCTCGTGTCAGCCTCTACCAGCAACACGAGATCCTAGCCGTCATCCTCTGTCGCACAATTGAGAAGCGAGAGGCTGAAATTGGCGATTTCAAAGCTTTCTTACAGAATCTGAGGAATGCCGACAGATATGACGTCCTGCTCGGTAAATACCACGGACCCCTTTGAATGTTGTTTGTCCGCTGACGTACCTAGCGCATCTGTTTCCTGCCCTGGGCGCATACATAACACTCTACGGCTCGACTGAAGGCATATCAAACCTGAACATGGCCAGAGAGCTTAATCCGATCATTTGTCCGCAGAACGACGAGAGCCCCTGGCGCCTAGTCTACTTACAGGCAGCGGTCAAAGCTTGGTGGCTGTCTGAGTATAGTGGATGGTATCTGGATGACTCGCTTCTCGGCGGCTTGGAAGGTGTGGATTTGGATCAAGGTGAGTTCGATGGTGTCCGGTTGTAGATTCGGGACTAACGACCGCCCAGAGGATCGACAGAGGTCCAAGCAGTTCATGGAGGCGTTGAAAGACGGTGCTTTCGATTTCATCCTCTCCATTGCTGCAGATGTCAAGACCCCTGAATGGGTCGACCCTTCAAGGATTACCATGCGCAACTGGCTTCAGCGGAAGGCTCCTCCGCTCATCTCGGACTCGATTGTTTTTGCCGAATACTTCCAAGAGTTACTAATGAACCAGCTGGAGGTCTTCGTTGACGCCTTCATCTCCAATCTCCCCGACGTTCTCAGGAAGCTTCGCGTCGAGGAAGATGAGCAACGCCAACTCAGCCAGGCACACGAGCAAGACCTAGACCTGGAGCGCTTTCTGGTCATCATAGCCTACGCGTACGAAGGCCGTCCTGATGCCGCGATGAATTTCTGGTCGGACCCTGACAGCAATCTGGCGGGCTTCATGCATTGGGCGTCACGGAGAGCTTCAACGCCACTCGTCAGTTCGTTCTGTGAGATGTTGCAGGCCATTTCTGGGAACGATGAATGCGCGACAGCTGCTCACGAGTTTTTACTGGATGAAGGACATCATGCATCGGGGAAGATGAGGCGGTCGCAGTCCCTTACCTGGCACCAAATCTTTAGGGAGCTTGTCTTCTTCTCTAACAAGATCAGAGAGAAAGCCACGGCCCCCCAGGTCTCGTCAACGTATCGACCCGGCCGTCCCAGCAGCGACCAGGCCGAATCCGAGCCGGAGTCTACAATGATGCTACAGTCATACCTGCGGCTCATCACCAAGCTTGCTTCAGAGAGCGAGACTGCAAGGCAGTTCCTTCTGAAGGAGCCCAGCTTCAACCTTGTGGAGATGCTTTTCCAGCTTGCCAGCAGTCCAGTTCCGGCGGACCTCCGCGCAGGCACCTTTTTGGCTTTGCGCGCATTGATCTCTCGCAAAACACAAGAGGAAGCCAACATCATGTGGCAATGTCTGGAGGCCTGGATGAACGGTGCTTACATAGTGACCCCAAGTCAGCACCGATCCCCCCAGAGCTCACCGGTTGTGTCTATGGACACGGTCAGCGACGACATCTGCCACGGTTTCGATGAGCCACATGCCTTCATCCAGCTCTTGATCGCACTGGTCACTCCCCCGGAGGATAGCAGCCCACTCAACGACTCACTGCCCTTCCCGGAGAACCTCGGGTCGGCTAACCGCATGCCTGGGATCGAAATCTACGTTGACACTGTTCTGGGCAAGGTTTTTGCAAACAAGGCCAACGAAGTGAATGACATCAACCAGCTAAGGATGCTGCGCCTGAGCTGTCTTGAGTTTGCAGCAACCTGTCTCTCAACGTTCAATGAAAACCTGATTGTCATCGCAAACGAAACCAATATTCCCATTGATTCGGCCATGGCGGCGACGGATTTGGCAACCTATGTCAAGTTACACCCTTTTGCCCGAGTTATGGAATGGATGTTCAACGACAAGGTCATTGCGGCTCTCGCCCAGACCATCCATCAGGATGCCGTGGATGTCGGCAACGCACCGCCCGATTCGCCAGTCATCCTGGGTATTCTGAGAGCTGTGGAGGTTATCTCCAAGGTTCTGGATCTCCAGGCAACCTTCCTTGATCTTGTCCGGCCCCTGATCAAGATGCAGTCTAATCACCGGCGCCCCCCTGTCGCCAACGCTGCGTATGCTTCGTTCGAAGACGGTCTGGTCGGCCATCTCGGTCTTGTAGTTGACCTGGGAAACTACTGCGGTCTTGGCCATCCCGAACTAACACTGTCCTGTCTGAGATTATTACAAAAGATGACGGCATCGTTCAAGATCACTTCGGCATGGTCATCCACACCTGGCCGCAAAAGCCATCGCAACAAAGCCATTGTCGCGCTCGAGGCGAATGGAGAGCACGAGACTATAGCCCGATCGCTCGCCGCGGAGCTGATGACGCCCCTCGACTGGGGACGGGAAGCCGAGTCGCCCAGCTATCTCACCAAAACATACATTCTCGACTTTCTTTCAAGCTGCCTAGCAGCAAGCCCCGACAAGCCTACGATTGCTCATCTCCTACTGGGCTTTCACTGTGGCGTTGACTCGCTGTCTATAGAGCCCAATGGGACTTTTGCCTCCCGGACGTCCGTCTTCCACAACATGTTGAGGTTGCTGTTGGACACACCATTTGGTGATGCACAAGGTATGCGGCATTGGCTTGTGTCCTTGAAGAGCAAGTCTATGCATATCCTGAGGGTCTTGTGGACATCACCTCTATCGGCCCCTTTTGTTATCGACGAGCTCCGAGATAACGAGGTCCTGTTTCATCTCCTGCTCCGCGAGGTAGTTATCCAGCCCCAATTGCCGTGGGAAAACCAAGATATCAGCGCCCCTGATTTCCCGCTCACTGAAGGTGCGCCGACTTTTATCGAGTTTCTTGCTCTGCGCAGCATGAGCTTAGAGTACATTGCGATGGAACTCTGCAGTATATCGCAGAGTCGGATGCCATCCCTCAAGCGACGGATTTTCGAGGCTCTCAACGGCCAGATCGTGGGCGAGAACAACGAGCCCATGCCCATCCCCACCGTGTTCGACTTGTACGACTTTTCACTACCCGAGGGTATCTGGGATGAATCACTCCCTGCCCTTCAGTTTTACAAGGACCTCGATCTTAGTACCTGTCTTGAGGAGGACGATCACGGAAACGCCATCTACAACGTCGACCGAGCGAGGGAGATCCTGTTACTTAAACGCAGTGAAAGAAAGCATGATGGTGTCGTCCTGACGGCGCAAGATTTTGCCACTCTGGAGCGGGAAGAGACGTTAATCATCAACTATCTCATCTTCACCAACCGTCAAAAGCGGATGGCGTCGCAAGGTCTCGGTGTTCTAAAGACGTGGACGAATCTGCTTCTCGTCATGGTCGCATCGAACGAGTTCAAGGGCACAACCGAGGCCTCGTTCTACCTGCAAGCGCTACAAGCTATCCTGCCCGGCCTGGAGGCTTCGGCGTTCGAGCGGCCTGAGGAAGCGATGGAGCTTGCTAAGCTGGCGAGGGTCCTCCTCTTCAAACTCGACTTGAGCTCGAAGCCTTCGCTGGACCGAGAAAGCCAGGCTATTGGTAGTCTCGTGAGCGACAAGCTTTACCAGCTGTTCCAGGTCTGCCTGCAAGCCATCGGCAAGTGGACCGGCTCCTCACAGCTCCGAGCAATCTACTACAGCATTTGCTACCGCTACTTGACGGGGATGGTGGACCAAGGACTGCTCGTCGCCGGCCGGCAGAAGACGCTGAAAACGATCCAGATGTATGGCGAGAGGCTCATCAACGTCATTTGCGACGACGCGTACAGTAGTGACCCTGCGTGCCAGACCGCCGCCTTCGTCCTCCTCACCGTGCTCGTCAATCTGGGACGACAAGAAGACGACCCGCACATTGTCGAAACGCTCAACCGGCTCAATTTCATTGGCATCCTCGTCGACTCGCTACGGACCATTTTGCATGACTGGACCGAGATCGTTCACACGGGCAACACGGCGCAGGAGACTTACGTGGCAGCCAAGTTGGCACTGCTTCTGCAGCTCGCACAGACCAAGCCCGGCGCCAAGTACGTTCTGCACGCGAATCTGTTCCGGTCCATCGAGGCCTCTGGCCTCTTCGCGGCGGATCCGGAACTGCAGATCGACCCTACGAACTCCAAGGCTCTGGAGAAGCATTACGAGCTGCTCGCCAAGGTCACGCAGGTTGTCAGCGCGGCCATTGTTAGCCGCGGCTCCAGCAACGTGCTTCAGGGGCGCAGGTTTCTTACGGAGCATCGTATGCTAGTGACGCATACCCTCAAGCGCAGCGCGGGCATCGGCACGATCGAAGGGGAGGGTGTCCTGGAGGAGCGCATCGAGGAGTTAGCTGAGGGCTTCATGGTTCTGATCGCCGCGACAGGTTTCCTCGAGGTATGTACCACATCGTAACACTTCTTAATCGCTGCTTCAGCGGCCATTTTGCTGACATCGTAAATAGTTTGAGAACGAGGTGATGCCGGAGCCTAAAAGGCAGGGCCCTGTTTTGTTCACTTGAGGAACCAGATGGAGAGAAAGAGAGAGAGAGAGAGAGAGAGAGAGAGAGAGAGAGAGAGAGAGAGAGAGAGAGGCGTGAAGACGACGACGACGGCGGCGGCGGATAATCAGCGGAGGAATACAAATGAAAGAGGAGCATAAGCAAGACCTAAAATCAGCGTAGATGCCATCTGTGCATATAAACCAGGCGTTCGGGAGAAGTGAAGGGCCGGAAAGGAAACGGAACACTGACTGGGGAGGCCATACCTAGCGGTCTCGGTTGGGGCGGGGATGCGCTGCGCTCCCCTAACCCCCCTCGAGGACGACATGCAGTACATACAAGAAAAAAAAAACCCACTATAGAGTTGCCTCCGCAACCGACTCCCATGCGAAGCAGAAGGTCCCCACGGCTGCGAAAAGCGAGGCCTGCTACAATCTCTCCTCAGTACCTTGGCCTGCCGTCAGACCCCCTGCTTGATGGCTACGGACGGAATGAGGCCGAAGGGGGGGGACGTGGTGGACTTTTACATTGATGGGTTGTCACTGACCCGACCGCCCGCAAGAAGAAGGGGGGTAAAAAGAAGAAAAGAAAGAAACCCCCCCCCCCCCCCCCCCCGAAAAGAAAAGAGAACATCGCACAGGCAATGCAACACAAACAGACACATGAGCCACACGTTGAATTCGTCAACCCTTGGAAACGGGGTGGTTCGTCTATGTTCACGCTTCGGCACAGATGCCAGCGCCTCTGCTGCCCTCGCTCTATCGAACACAATGCTGGCTGGACGGGTATCACAAAAATAACATTGCCTACTCCCCGCAACCCTCCCCACCAACAGAACGCACTGAACATGCTGAAAAGCCCACAGATCCATATGCTTCTTATGCCCTTCCCTCCTGTTCGCCCCCACCAACAAAACGCACTGAACATGCTGAAAAGCCCACAGATCCATATGCTTCTTATGCCCTTCCCTCCTGTTCGCCGTGAAAATAAACATGCAGCCCGTGGCAAGCCTGCCCCGGACTCTTCGGATATGTGCCTCGTAAGAAATGTGCGTGGCTCACGCCCGTTGCTTGCCCTTGCGGCTGGCTGTCATCAGCTTGAGCTCCAGGGGCCAGAAACCCTTTGTCTTGGACGTGTAGGTGTTTCGGTCCTTGGTTTCAACCTTTTGTCTGCAGATCGGGCATTTGTTCTTCGTTGCGTCGACGTTCAGCGCTGAGTGAAGGCACTCGGAGCAAAAGAGGTGGCCTGGCGACGTTAGTTATGGCGTACACACACACACACACACACACAAAAGTGACTTGCAGACCACAACATACCACAGTGGGTTACGGTCAAGGCTGTGACATCGTCCATGCAGATGACACACTGAAAAGCTGAAATCTTTACTCTGTTATCCTCCTTGGGTGCCTTCAAATCCTCCGGCACCTCGTTCGTGCCGGCAAGATCAATGACTTCTTCGTCCTTCCCTTTGCCCTTCTTGGCATCTACATCATCTTCGCCAAAAATGTCGGCGTCAAGCGTCAGGGCGCCGGGCGTTGTCGTCCGGTCGCGTACGGTCTGAGGCTGTGACGTTCGTCGTCGCTTGGGGGCGGCAGCTACTCTGGTAGGGGCGGACGAAGGGGCCGCCCGCTTTCGCGTGGCGGAGACCACAATCTCCTCTGGGTCGGGGTCATGATCAGAGCTGGGGATCGTGGAAGCCCTCCGGCGGGTCTGAACAGGCATCGTGGCTTGAGATTCGTCTTCCGAGCTTACGAAAAGCGAGTCTTCGAGCTCGTCGTCGCGGGACGCGGGATGCGACGTTGGATTTCTTGCTGCTGCTGCTGCTGCTCTCAGCGCAGCGTTCGTGTTGTGGCTGCTGTACCTAGCTGGGCGGTCGGGCCGCAGCGGCGTGCCAGAAGGGTGGCGATGGGGTGGGTTCCGAGGACTTTGGGCTAGGTTCGTGTGCTGAAAGCTGTCTGCAGAGGCCTGAATGTGTCGGGGATATGAGGACGGTGAGGAGAAGTTCCCGTCGACTAGTGCGGAGAGGTATTCGTCGGTAATCGGCTGGCGGTCGGGTGTCTGTGGGGCGCCGTTCTGCTGTAGCGCAGTCGCGTCGAAGGGTTGGTAATCCAGGGTGGCGGCAAAGTCTAAAAAGGAGGGGAGGGCTTGTTGGGTTTGGGTGCTGTCCGGTGTAGGGACGCCCAAAAGATTCTCAATGTGTTGATGTTGGTGTTGTTGGTGTTGCTGGGTGTGAGTGGCGTTTCGAGTGGCTGAAGCGGATACGGGCTCGGGTTCGTTATCGAGTTGGATGGGTGTTTGACTGTTGCTGCCTCGTGCAACACCCTGATCTGTCCCGAGGTAGCTGTTGAACGGTCGGGCTGGGGCGAAAGAAGAGCTGGTTCGTGTCGGCTGCGGCAGAGGAGGCGTAGACAGGAACGAGATGAGTCCCGGCATGGGAAGTGGGACGAAGCGCCGATTGCCTTTTGGGCGCGACGAAGTGATTTGGGTGTTAAAAACAAGCAGTTCCGAGGCAAATGGTAGCGGGGGGAGGGGGGAATACAGTCCAATTTGTAAGATATCGGAAAGAAAAAGACAAGAATTAATTTACAGACAAGTATCCAGGGTAGGGAGATTGTAGGTCGACGGCAAAAGGGGCCTTAGCCATGTCGGCGTTGTGTAGGAAAAGAGACGGAGGGGAGCGAGGAAGGCGGGATGACGGATGGCCGTCGCCAGTGCAGTGTCGTGGTTTCGGGGTTTAGGCACAGGTTCGGGGATTGAGGTGATTTGGTGCAGCAGTATCCGTACGCATACCCAAGGGGGTGGAGTTTGAAGGGCAAATCAGGACAGCCAACAAGCGCATACGGAGTACTAACATACGTACCAGGTAGGTACCTAGGTGGGCAAGACTTGGCCAGCCGTCTGTCTAGTCACCCAGGTGTGCACAAGACACAGAACGGAAGGGGAAGGGGGCCATATTCCCTCCAGTCTGTTCCTGCTTCTGCTTCGGAATAGCCGAAGGCGACAAGACGGAGAGGGTGAAATGAGACTCGGGAAAAAGAAACGATACAACAGTAGGTAACCAAGTCACTTTCTCTCCCTCTGTGTCGTCTGTGTCTGCACCGCACTGCATCTTGGGTGCTCCCGGTGTTACACAGTACCAAGTGTCACTTACCTAGGTACCTGTCCGCATAGTACGTACATAGGTAGTACGTGTACTGCCAAGGTACATACACCTGCGAGACGGCCCCTTAGTAGTACACGTACCATAATATAGTCTGGCCGAGTCACGGTGGTTCAAATGTGCAGCTGGTCGAGACCCACGCTGATACTGAGAGCAACCTTTCAATAAACCCCCGTCTCAGTCTCTGCATCTCGAACCACGGCGACTTTGTGCAGCTTTCAGACTTTGGCCAAGGTACTTACCTTAGTCGGAAGAAGACACGCCGCTCAAAGACCCCCGACGACCCGGGGAGGGCATCGGCCATCGGCTCTCGACTGCTCCAACGGGGGTCTTACGTGTACATTGTACATGTCCGTACCCGTACCCAAGCCAGCCAGCCAGCATACCTGCCTAGGTGCCTATGGTGTCATGGCTTGATGTCGCTTCTCCTCTCAAAGACACAACCATATTCACCACGCCAAGAAACCTTATAAGGCAGTGTAACTTCATTGGAAGCCTTCAACGAGAAGTTGGCTATTTTCAGACGGCCATTTCGATGCCATAAATCCAAAGGTGCAGTGCATGCATGGCATGCCAAAATTCTATCAGAACCCAGGCGGGCGGGAGACCCTTAAAAGGTGGAGACGACTAGGCGAGGTGCCGGAAGCTGAAGCTCGCCGATTGGCTGATGATCCCTGCCCCGCACGAGGACCCAAGCTAACGCGCCCCTCTCTCTTCCGCCCCCTATCGCATTGCGACGCCTGTCAAAGTGGTGACGGCAACTCTCTATTTTTTTCCTACGCTGCTCCTCTTCCGTCTTCCTCTCTCTCCCTCTTCGTCGTCCTGCCTGCTCGCCCCCAGCCTTTGCGACTGGGAAAACATTCACCGCGTAATCCGTGTCATGTTTTAAGAGCTCGTGTTATCGGCAACCCATTTGTTCTCGCTTCCTGCGACATGCCGCACGCTCGACCAAGACCATGGTCGAAATCGCAAACCAGGTCCTGAGGGGTTCCACTGCGAGCTTCGTCCGCCTAGCCCGCCACCATGCTCCTCGTCGCCTTGCATGGCGCTCGCATGTTCGTTGGCAGTCTGCAGTCACATCAGGGGCTGCGAATACTAAGAAGACTGAGGAGGGACAACACGGTCTGAATCGTATGAGCCTCGCGCCCCCCTTCAATCAGTCAGTCTTGTGGCCCTTTGCTGACCATCGCAGTCTCGTCGCAGTCGCGCTACAGCGAAATCGGCGTTCAGCACCTCAGCGCCCATGTTTACAATCAGCTATTCCCCGACGGAAACACACCGCCGCCGCCCGAGCTTGTAAACCTCGCCAGGGATCACTTGCGCCGCCATGATTTGCTCGGCAAGAACAATGACAACAGCGAACCCATCGCCTTCGACCTCCCCGCCCTTCAAGGACGAACGCTAGACGAGCACTTCCACAAGCTTGCCGTTGACTCTGCAGAGCCGTATCTATCCCTCGCGAAACAGTTTGCGAGGGCCAACACACCGCCGAAACCGCGAAAATGGGTCCGCCGCAGTGGCTGGACGAAATATTATTCCGACGGCAGGACTGAAGCCGTCGATGCTCCCGACGAGTCCATGTTGTGCTTTGACACCGAAGTCATGTGGAAGGAGAGCTCGTTCGCCGTCATGGCCTGCGCCTCGAGCCCGACAGCCTGGTATGCCTGGCTGTCGCCGTGGCTGCTGGGCGAGTCCGAGTCTGACCGGCACCTGATTCCGTTGGGCGACCCGACGAAAGAGCGTGTGATAGTGGGCCACAACATCGGATATGACCGAGCGAGGATATTGGAGGAGTATGACGTGAAGCAAACGCGCAACTACTTCATGGACACCATGTCGCTTCATGTGGCCGTAAATGGCATGTGCTCGCAGCAGAGGCCGACGTGGATGAAGCACAAGAAGAGCCGAGAACTAAGAGACAAGATTGCAAGTCAAACCGACGATGTGCAGCTGGCCGAGCTGCTGGGAAATAGCGCCCTGCGGCAAGAAGAGGAGGAGCTCTGGGTGGACCGGAGTTCGGTCAACTCGCTTCGCGACGTGGCCAAGTTCCATCTCGACGTCACCATCGACAAGGCCGTGCGCGACGAGTTTGGCACTCTTGACCGAGATGGCGTGCTGGGCAAGCTGGAAAACCTCCTGGACTACTGCGCCGCGGATGTTGCCATCACCCACCGCGTGTACCAGATCGTCTTTCCCAACTTTCTCGACACCTGCCCGCACCCCGTCAGCTTTGCGGCGCTGCGACATCTTTCCTCTGTCATCTTGCCTGTGAACAAGACCTGGGACGCTTACATCCACAACGCCGAGGCCACTTACCGTGCGCTATCTGATGCCGTTCAGGAGCGTCTGATCGGGCTCACCGAACAGGCTCTCGCAATCAAGGACGACCCAGAGAAGTGGGGCAATGATCCGTGGTTGAAGCAGCTCGATTGGTCTGGCCAGGAAATCAAAATGGTTAAAGGCAAGAAGAAGAACGACCCGCCACGGCCGGCGGCGAGACAGAAGAAGCCTGGTATGCCTCAGTGGTATAAAGACTTATTCCCGAAGAACGACTCTCCCATCAACCTCACGGTACGGACTCGTATCGCACCGATACTGCTCAAGCTCTCGTGGGACAACCACCCGCTGTTCTGGTCAGACAAGTACGGCTGGACGTTCAGAGTGGAACGGAGTGAAGCATCGGATTACCAGCAAAAACAGATGATTGAGTGCGACTTTTCAGACTCGGAGAGCGATGCCGCGCTGCGGAAAGAGCGTGGCGTTTTTTTCAAGCTGCCACACAAGGATGGTCCAACGGCACGGTGTGTCAATCCCATGGCCAAAGGGTACCTATCCTATTTCGAAAAGGGCACATTGTCCTCCGAGTATTCGTACGCCAAGGAAGCTCTGGAAATGAACGCGTCGTGTTCGTACTGGATCAGTGCCCGCGACCGCATCATGTCGCAGATGGTTGTCTACGAGAACGACATTGCAGGCAGAGAAAACAAGGCGAGCTCCGGGAAGGAGAAGGACCCAGAACAAGTTCAAGGCTACATCCTACCCCAAATCATACCCATGGGGACCATCACGAGAAGGGCAGTGGAGAACACGTGGCTTACCGCGAGCAACGCGAAGAAGAACCGAGTCGGGTCGGAGCTCAAATCGATGGTCAAGGCGCCGCCTGGCTACAGCTTCGTCGGTGCTGACGTTGATTCGGAGGAGCTATGGATCGCGAGCCTCGTCGGAGACGCCACGTTCAAGCTTCACGGCGGCAACGCCATCGGGTTCATGACCCTGGAGGGCACAAAGGCCGCGGGCACAGATCTCCATTCGCGAACGGCGAGCATCCTGGGCATCACGAGAAACGATGCCAAGGTCTTCAACTACGGCCGCATCTACGGCGCGGGGCTCAAGTTTGCCGGCCAGCTGCTCAGGCAGTTCAACCCCAACCTGTCCGAGAAGGAGACGAACGAGACCGCCGCGAGGCTGTACGCCAAAACGAAGGGCACCAAGACCAACAGATCGGCGCTGAGCAAGCGGCCGTTCTGGCGCGGCGGGACGGAATCATTTCTCTTCAACAAGCTGGAAGAGTTCGCGGCGCAAGAGCGACCCCGGACGTTTGTCCTGGGCGCAGGCATCACGGAGGCCCTGATGCGTCGCTTCATCAACCAGAACGGCTATCTGACCTCGCGCATCAATTGGGCTATCCAGTCCTCGGGCGTCGACTATCTCCACCTCCTGATCGTAGGCATGGACTACCTCACCCGGCGGTTCAACATCGAGGCCCGTCTGGCCATCACCGTCCACGACGAAATCCGATATCTCGTCAAGGACCATGACAAGTATCGCGCCGCCATGGCACTCCAGGTGGCAAACGTTTGGACGAGAGCGATGTTTTCCCAGCAGGTGGGCATCAACGACTTGCCGCAGTCGGTGGCCTATTTCTCCGCCATCGATATCGACCACGTTCTCCGCAAGGAGGTCGACATGGACTGTGTGACACCAAGCCACAAGACGGCCATCCCTCCGGGAGAGAGCCTCGACATCACGGCCCTCCTCGCCAAAGGGGCCGAAGCCCGTCTGGACCCCTCCATCGTGCCTGACCCTGCACACGCGCCCAAGCTCGAGGGAATCGAATACGTCCCGCGCACGCCCGTCATGGACACGCTCGAGGACTCCACGTCGACCGATCCTCATTTCCTCAGGGCGCAGATCGCGAGCACCGAGATGGAGCTGAGCCAGGTGCTCAAGGACCGGAGAGAGTCGCTCAAGACGCAAGAGGAGAAGAAGGCCCGCGCGCCCAGGCTCAAGAAGGAGCGCAGCGTGCTGCCGTACCAGTCGGACGCGAAGCTGGTCCCCACCATGACGGTGTCGGACGCGTTCGGCCACAGCAAGTTCGGCTCGCGGTTCGAGACGAAGAACCGGTGGACGACGTGGCAGAAGGACAAGGGCCCGGGCCGTTTTGGACCCAGCTCGAGAATCTAGTGTAGGATAACGGCGAAGTCAGGTTTGTACGATGTTTGTAAAAAGCCCTGAACGGCGGTTTTTTTTTTTTTTTTTTTTTTATGTATCGCTCACTCTGGCTGGCTTAAAAAGCGAAAGGACGAGGCTTAGATGAAGGGGCCAGGCATGTCTGTGTTGTATGGGGCCGGGCGCTTTTTCATGTATTTTATGCAATGGGGTCATTGCTATCTATGCCCGTCTGTATGTTCTATGTACGATGTAATATCAATCTACCGATACCCAGCTAACCCGTCCCACGCTTCCTTGCCAACAGAGCACGCCCTTAAGATGCGAAGAGTGACATTCAAATGCTATATAGCGACATCTCGGGCAAGACGGAAATCGTACGCCACCCACCCACGGAACCGGCCGACGGCAGGACCCAGCTCAGCTCTTCTTGAGCTTGAGCACAACCCACGCAGCGATCCGGTACCCGGCAATGATGGCGATCATGATGCCGACGTTCCTCCCGAAGTGGTCCTCGGTGTAGCCGTACGTGTCGAGAACGCCCTGCCCGGCGATCCTGCACTCGGCGGCCAGCGGCGTCTGGTACATGCAATGGCACCCCTCGGCGCAGGCGTAGGTCCTGTGTGCGAACTCGTTGCGCATCATGCCCTCGAAGACGTACTTCTGGTAGTCCCAGTAGTGGAAGACGTAGCGGTAGAAGGCGTTGAGGATCGTCGGCGGCACCATGAAGCCGTTGACGCTCATCCACAGGCCGTTGGCGAAGGCGACGAGGGCGAGGCTGACGACGAAGCTCGGGAACAGCGAGGCGAAGAGGACGACGAGGCCCTCGGCCGCCAGCAGGTCGAGGAAGAGCCAGAGGACCCAGACGAAGAAGGCGTCGGCGGCGGGCCGGAAGTTGGAGAGCCAGTACGAGACGGCGGAGAAGACGAGGGCGAAGAGGAACAGGTACGGCAGGCCGAGGAGGAAGTTGGCGGCGAGCAGCGCCGCGGGGCCGCACAGGCCGTTGCGGCGCTCCTTGACGTACTGGCCGCGGTCCTCGAGGAAGGCCGGGACGTAGGCGACGGCCATGAAGGACATGAAGGCGCCGCCGAAGAAGATGGCGTTGGTCAGCGGTATGATGGACGCCTGCTCCGCCGGCAGCCGCACCCACACCGTGCCCATCATGAGGGCGAGCCCTACGTACATGGCGAGGCGGATGCCGTACGCCACGACGTCGCGGCGGCTCTTGACGAAGCCGCGGTGCAGAAGCGTCACCACGAGGCCCGCCGTGCCGGGTCTCGGCTCCGTCTCCTCGCCGACAACGACGGCGTCGCCGTTGTTGTTGTTTTTGTTGCGCCGCCGCCGCTCCTCGACGTCAGCGAGGGCCGCGCGCAGGTCCCCGGCCGCGGTTGAGGCGTCCCACGCCGCCTGCATGGCCTCGAGGCGCTCCGCGGCCCGCTGCTTGTCGCGGGCGAAGTCGGTGTTGACCAGCTCGAGTACGTGCTCGGCCGGGTGCACCTGCAGCGGGATCGGCATGCCCAGGGCCTCGTAGTGGGGGGCCACGCCGTCGACGGGGCCAAAGTAGTGCGTCTTGCCGCCGGAGAGGAGGAGCAGCTTGTCGAAGAGGTTGAAGGTCGACGTCGAGGGCTGGTGGATGGACGCGATGACGATGAGCTGCGGGGCGCGGTTAGCAATCGGCGTTTCCCCTTCCATCAAGGCTGGTTCCAGGGGGGGGGGGGGGTGGGAGGCAAGCAGGCGAACAGACAGCCGCCCCGGCTTACATTGTTCCGTTTAGCAACCTTGCTTAGGTAGCTGATGACCTCGAAGCTCGCGGCCGAGTCGAGCCCGCTCGTCGGCTCGTCGAGGAACAGGATCCTGGGGCCCGTGATCAGCTGGCTGGCGACGCCGACGCGCCTCTTCTGGCCGCCCGAGATGCCCTTGCGGAGGGGCGTGCCGATGAGGGCGTCGGCCTGGTCCTCGAGGCCGAAGGCGGTCAGCAGGCCGTCGACGCGGGCGGCGCGCTCCCGGGCGGGAAGCGAGGACGACGCGAGGCGCGAGGTGAAGAGCAGCGTCTCGCGGACGGTCAGGGACCCGATGAGGGCGTCCTCCTGCTCGACGAAGCGGCTGATGAGCCGGAAGTCGGCGCGCGAGGCCTTGGAGCCGTTGACGAGGACGGCGCCGCCGACAGAGGCGGCGTTGGTCGGGCGGCCGGCGAGCACGTTGAGGAGAGTCGTCTTGCCGCACCCCGAGGGGCCCATGAGCGCGCAGATCTCACCTGAGGGCAGGTGTTAGGAGGGGACGGCAAGGGGCGTAATCATTCTGGGGTACACCCGAGAGAGAAGAAGGGGGGACGGGGGGGCGAAGGGACTCACCTGCCTTGACGAGGCCGTCGACTCGGTGGACGATGTTCTTGGGCTGCTTCGTCTCTCTGTCTTTGACTGTGACCTCGATGCCGCTCCAGGAGATGTTCTGCACCGTGGTGTTGAGCAGGTGGGCATCGGCGGCGCCCTTCTCGGCGTCGTGCTTGGAGAAGCCGTTGTCTTGGCACCGCGCCGCCTTGCGGCCCGATGCGTAGCTATCGGGAGCCGTCATGGCTACGTCTTGCGCTTATATGTATGTCGTGCGTTTCTGCCTTTCTCTCTCCGTCTCTCTCTCTCTCTCTCTCTCTGTGTGTGTGTGTGTGTGTATTGATGCAATTGATCAAGACGAAGATACAAGTCTCGAGATCCGAGGGAAGTATGAGCATGTAGAAAGGGGCTCCAACGACACAAACTTAGAGCAGGAGAGGAGCGGCACAGATTTATCTGTCTTCTTGCTCTTCATCTACACCAGACCCGCAGGCCAAGCACGGCCGGCACAGCCATGAGGATGCGCTCCCCCTTGATTCACTCTGCTTTGCTTTGCTTTGCTGGCTCTGCATGGCAGCATCTGAGGCTGAATCGGGCAGCCTACCCTGCCTGCCCCGTTACGATGCAGGCAGCACACTTATGCAAGTGATGGACGGTTGAGAGGGATCGCAATAATCGGCGACCACCATGTAAGCTGCCTTTTTAGTTCCCCGAGACCCAGTCAAAAAAGGCCCCTAGACCAGGGGGTGGGGTGTGTACATACCCCCCACAGGCGAACCTCGTCCGACCAATTGTTAGAACAGCCACTTACACGCACTTCCTTGCTGGCCGGCCATGAGGAAACTCCCCGAGGAGACCTCATCCGCATGGATCATGTCGGCATGGTTAGAATAACGGTGCGGGACATCCAAGCCGTGCCGAGCGGGTGCGACTCTGTCGTATGCAGACAAGTAGATGGGTCTGTCTGCCCGCCCTTGCTTCCCGTGCTCCCACCATGAGGCAGCCAATACCACCCTCGCATCTGAAGATGATCAAGATCACGTCGCATCCCCCCGACAGCCGAAAGGAGCAGTGGCCGGATATCCAAATTCGAGAATCCACGGCGGGGAAGAAGAGGGTCGAGAGTCTCTTGAATATGGTCCCGAGACGGCCGTGGTTCGGACGGGTTCCCTGGACGCCGAGTCCGTCAAGCCTGCGTCACGCAAACAAACCACATCCCTCTGCAACAACGGTTTCCCGCACCCCCCGGGGGGTGTGTGTGTACCCGGATAACACGAGAAACAACAAACTCGAGACCCTGCATTTCCATGCGACCGTACGCCTTGCAACTTCACAGCGCGTGGGGTCGAGGGGGGGGGGGTCCCCAGATCAGCCGGCCGGTGTCCAGACCGGGCAAGATCCCTTTCGCGAATCCGTCCCCGGTCCGGTGACCTGGGGGCCCTTTCTGCTTAGGAGGGAAGACGGGGGGACCCTCCGGACCGCCGGTGTTGATCGGGGGTGTTCGGCGTCGACAGCCCAAGGACCGCAAGGACGTCTGGGATCCGGCTAGCACGGCCGGCTCTCCTCTCAGCCACGGGCGGCGTTGGGGAGGGTCATTGACGACGCTAAAAATCAAACCTCCGCTGTCAAAGGCGCCACAGGGGACTCCGGACTGGGGTGGTTGCGGAAACTAGTGGTTTGGCTTGACGACAGCACACGGCTAGCGTCACGCTTGGCGTATATTAGAGGATAAGTACTGTACAGCTTCAGCTTTCCCTTCTCCTTCCTCGTCAAGTTACATTATGTCCCCGCCCCCCCTCTCCCTAAAGCATCGATGGCAGATAAAGGGCCAGATCTACCCGCCAAGACCGCCTAGAGGCGGCATGGGGATGCCGCCCAGGCCCGACTCAATGTCGTTCATGATGGTCTCGTCCGCCGCGATGCTGTTCATCACCTCCTCCTGGGTGTAGCCCTGCCAGTAGGACGGGCTGGTCTGCGACGTCTTCTTGGACCGGTAGATGTCCTGCGCGACGGCGCGGACCTGGGCCGAGGCGCGCCCCGCCGCCTTCCACACGGTCGAGAGCTTGTTGAGGGCGCCGATGTTGAGCCGGATCTGCTGCCGGAGCTCGTCGTCGTCGTGGGGCACGAAGAAGAGGGCCCACTTGCTCAGGTGGACGATGGACGAGAGCGTCACGACGCAGGTGAAGAAGTGCGTGTGCGACGTCAGCGGCACGCGGTGCGTGATCATCTTGCTGATCTCGGCGGCCGACGTCACCGTGTGGTTCGTGTGCGCGTTGAACAGGTCCCCGGACGGCACGGGCCGGTGCGGTGCGCACGACGTGACGGACCGCGCCGGCGTCGAGTCCAGCTGCGAGTGCGGCTGATGAAGCATGATGGACGTCCTTTGTGTTCGCGTCAGTGCCTGGCGGGGGGTTTTTTTTTTTTTCAATTTTTTCAAATTTTTTTTTTCCACCGAAAAAGGACTGGACGCATGGGAACAGGATAGGGGGGGCCTTACGCATTGGTCATCATGTTGGCCTGGAAGATCATCTCGTCGGGCCGGAGCTTCTGGTCCAGCGCGTTCTTCTTGGCCGCCGGGAGGTGGAGCCTCCAGTTGGTCAGCAGCGCCTCGATGCGCGCCAGGTTCTCGTCGTCGGGGCCAAAGATGGGTGGGACACGCATGAGCTTGCCCAGATTGCGCCCGGCCAGGACACGGTACGCAAACGACGAGAACGGCCGGTCCTCGCCGGAGAAGTCCTGGTCTTCCAGGTCCGTGAGGTTCATGGGCGGCGGGATGTTCTGTGCGAACCACGATGCAGCTTTAGCTGTCTGATTGGGTCAAGGAGAGGGGGGGGGGCGGCGGGGTCACGCTGCAACAGGCACTCACCCCAGATAGATACTGATGCTCCTCGCAGGGGAGGGCGGCGTCGGCGGGCACGTCAAAGAGGAGAAAGTTGGTCTGGCGGTGGACCCCGGCCACCATGCCGTCGACGACAAACAGGTCCCACCACGTCCTCCGCCAGCTCTCTTCGAGCACGGAGATGCCCCGGCCGTACTGGGTCGCGTACCCGCGCGTGTGCAGTCCTATCTCGAGCGCGGTGCGCTCGGCGTCGGCGAGCAGGTCCCGAGCCCTATCCTGCTCACAGTCACCGTCCAGCCCGACGACTAACAGCACCAGGGCTTGGACGAAGAAGCCGTCTCTCCTAACGGTAGGATCCTGCACCAGGCGCAGAGCCTCGTCCAGGAAGCCGGCCCGCGCGGGCCCGGCCTCAAAGAACAGAGAGCCGATCCAGCGGATCGCGGCCAGCAGGGGTTCCACGTTGGTGTCTCTCATGATACGGAGCAGCCACTCCTTGGGGAGGGCAAAGGGGTGCGAGGCATGGAAGTGGTGGTAGAACGAGTCGAGACACCGCTCGGCAAGGGTGAGCACGGCGACTTGGGCAGGCGCGCCGGACTGCGGCACGCCCAGGGCCAGCTGGTTCGAGCCGAAGCCGGTAGCGGCACCAAAGGACCGGTAGAGCTGCATATTCGTGTAGTTGGGCGTCGTTGCAAACGTGGTACTGGGGGTGTCCGGGAGGCCGACGCCGATGGGGCCAAAGGCCACCGAGTTCTGCATCGTCGAGGGCGCCGTGGTGCCGTTGGCGCCCAAGAGCATGGAGCAACTGTCGCCGACATCGACGGTGGACGTGGGAGACGAGGAGCGCGCCCTCTTGTTCGGGTTGGCGGTGTTGTTCCTCCTCGGACCCTTGTAGCCGCGGCGCGAGGCGACGTAGATGCACTCGGACTGCGAGCTCTGGCATCGCGAGCAAGGGTTCTGCCCGTCACATTTCAGGTGCTTCCCACGCTGCCGCACAAGAAGGGATCGGGTCAACTAGCTGCAGCATCGGCTTGACGGGAGGAATGGGGGTGGAAAGGGGGGAAGGGGGGGAGGGGGGTGTAGTGAGACGAGGTGTCACTTACGCAGCTGAGACAGGCAGCGGGGACGGCTATAACTGGTTGGGCGGCCTGGGAGCGGGTTTCACTGGTCGCCGAGGAGCGCGCGTTTGGCGAGTTGCGATCGGTGGGCGACTCTGAGTCGGGCACCACCCTCAGAGGGTTCGGGGACCCGTCGCTGGAGGCGGTCACCGAAGACAGGGGGACTTCGGGCGTCAGCGAGAATTGCATGTCGACGGAGCGGCCGATTGCCGTTGGGCCCCGGAACCGGTGGACGGGGAGGGGACGAGACTTGGTCGCGATCGGGCGTGCGTCGCGACAAAAGAGGGCGGGTGTTTGTAGGAGGGAAAAAACAGACGTGCGTGATCGGCGACAAGGACGGTGCAGGCAGTGTATTAATTAGTAGTAGCAGCAGTCAACTTGGTTACCACTGTGTCGCGCGCCCCCAAACCGGACCCAGCGCACTGATACGATGGATGGGTGGCCTGATAAACGTATCCTAGTCCTGTTTCCTCTCTCTATGTCTCTCAATCTCTCCCTTTCGCTCTCTCTATCTATCTCTATCTCTTACTCTCTGCACAGAGTCCACGCAAACAATGAGACCGTCTGCCATGTCAGCTTCAAGCGAAGCTGCTGCGATAGATGAGGCCGAGGTCGTGGGCATGCTTAGGTGGCGGTCCCTTCTATCCAAGGCCGCCGCTACCGTTGGACGGTATGCGGATGTCGGATAGCGAGGTCGTTTAACGTTTTGCTTGTCGCCTCCCGCTCTAACCTACCCTATTCTATTCTGAACTGGTGGGGTGTTCATCTGAAGAATATTTGGTGCCTAAAGGGATGATCCACTAGGTATTGAAAGGAGCGGTCCCGTGCGTGCGGGGGAGGGACGGGCTAGGGGTGTGTGCTCGGGAGTCAAATGTTTCCGTACTTGGGTAAACGATGGTCGCCATGTGTCTGTCCTCTACGTGTACACCATCGGGGATGTGGTAGCTGATTGGCAGCCGTCGTGGTCGGCGATGATGAGCTGAGGAGTTAGAGAGGCTGAAGATTATTTATAAACCCCTGCATATAGCTGCCTGCGGTCGGCCCAAGATGACGGACGGTTTACCCGTCACCATCCCACAAAGGCCGTGCGTCCGAAGCTTGCCCGGCCATTTTGAGAACCTAAACTACCCACCTAGTTCATTTACCCAGGGATATGGGATGAAGCCACAGCCCGCGGCTACGGCGTGTGGATTGAGCTTGCGTAATTCGCGTTTCCAGAAGGTACATTGGAAAGGGAGGCGGAAGGTTCAAGTATCCGGCTATTCCAGTGCCGCCGATGCCGTAGTCGCTGGAAAGAAGAAAAAGAGGCAGAGGAAAAGGACTCGGGAGCTTGCAGACATGCTTGACCTCCACCCATCCCAAGTCGTGGTAGAGCGCGGCAAGACGTGACTTTCCCGTCTGAAACTGCTGGTCGCAAACCAGCCGCATTGCCCCGTTTCGAGCAGGTCGTCGACTTGGCTCGGCATCGTCGCGATTGCCTCTACCGTCACGAGTTTGCCCTCGGAGCTTGCTGCCCGTCTGCTGCTGATCAGAAAGGAGGAATACAAGCGAGCGTGGTACACTTGCCGCATTCGACATGGGACGTGTGCTCTAATTTGCTGCACGAAACCAACGGAACCGACCCATACCCGGCGCGGCGCGGCGCTCGGTCGGGGTCGAAACAGTGGGGGGCCCTGCATATCCGGCGGCCTTTCCGGACAGCAATCACTCACACACACACACACACACACACACACACACACACCGACCTTTGCCAAATTCGAGGGCATGCTTGGTTGGTCCTTCATGAGACTCATTCAATCCAATTGCCTAGATACGCGTTCCCATTCCGTGACGAGCACCAGCTACATTACATTACCTTTTGGCACACTACGATGGGTGTTCCCGGATTAACAACGCTGCCGGGTGTGCGTGCAATCTTGGTTACTACTGCCCCGGCCTGTGCGTCAGAAGTGAGCACTTTGATTTCCATCTTCATCGCTTCCAGGATCGCCACCGTTTGCTTCCTCTCCAGCACGTCCCCAACCTCGACCAGCACCTTCCAAACATTGGCACCCATGGGCGACTCGACCGTGAGAGCGTCAGCTAATGCTGCATCGCCATCATCTTCGCTCTGACTCGACGCCTCTGCTGCCTTGGCTTTAGTCCATTCGCTAAAGAGACGCTGGTCGAGCTCGCCCATCTCCTTGGCCGCCGCAGCCTGACGCTTCCGCCACTCCTGGTATGCGGGGTTCCGGGTTGCCGCGTCGAACTTGGCAATGTGCTCGTCCATGGAAAGAATCCCGTCGGAAATCTCAAACACAAATCTTCCAGCCTCAAAGGCGCGCTCGGCTTGGTCAAACCCCTCCTTCGAAACCTCGCGGAATCGCACGATATCAAAGTGCTTAAACAGCCACGGCCGCGAAGGCGAGAAGCCAGGTCGAGTGCCCATCATGTCCCACGTACCCAAAGTGCGGCCCATCAGCTGGTACCCTCCTGGAGAGGCAACGGGGTAGATTGCCAACAGAGAGCCGCCCAAGCCGACCGAGCCGCTTGGCGTGTATGTGCGGTTGGGGTTGTACTTTTGACCCGTAAAGACATACTTGGGGTCAAGCGGGAACATGACCGGGCTTCCGACAAAGAAGCCCACACCGACGGCGAGCCAGGGGGTCTTCACTAGTGAATCGAGAACGTCGCGGCGGGATTCCAGCGCGTTGTTCTTCCGCAGATACTCGACGTTGTCCGGGAGGTAGGCGGCCGTCGGCCGAATGCTCTCCATGTATCGCTCTGTGGCTTCTTTGACTGTGGGGTGGTCTACGCACAGCGGGAGTCTGAGCTCGCGGACCGCCACTTTGACGCCTACAACCTCTTCGATGCTCTCATCAAGCTCCATCAATTTTTGGAGAAGCTCCGACTGGTGCATCTGGAGCGGATCGAAGTGCACAGTGAGCGTGGAAATATTGGGCTCGCAGCGTATGCTGACAAGCTTCCGGGCCGAGATTTTCTCCTTGAGAATCTTGACGCAGACAGTATTCCGCAGATCGGCAACTTGCTCGCCATACTCAATCACTATAGCCGCGTCGCCTCCTTGCCGGTAAGTGACGCGGGGATGGTCGCCGAGGGATTGCGTCGTATGTAGGATGGAAGTGGTTTTCTGAGAGCCGGACGTCGTCGGTCCGGGAGGGGTTACTTCGGTTTCTTCACCGTCCACAAGAGCGGCCAGAGACTTCAAATACCCCTCGTTTCTACGGGTTATTTCTACAGCGTCCTCGAAGGTGACGAGTTGAAAACGAAAAGCATGACCCGCTTTCAGCTGGCCGACCTTCCACATTTCGGCCGAGCAGATGGTCACAGGACAGGCAAACCCACCGAGGTCTGGGCGGTCGCGCGAGAAGATGAAGGGGTACTCCCCTGTCCAGTTGACGCCGCCGTTGGGGTATTCATAGTCAAAGACATTTGATGGATGGGACCCGCCTCCTCCACCGGTAGTACGCGCCCACTTTAGTCGGGGGCCCTCCAGTCGAACTCCGATGCGGCTGCTGTTATGACTAACGGTCCATTGGGAACTAGTAATCATATCCATGCCTTCTGGGGTAAGAATATCTTGCGAGCCAAACGGACCATTGAGACAGTATATTTCGGAGACGTTGTAATCCGGCACGACCCCCGGGGGTAGCGAGAAGGGCTTAGCCGCGGCTGCCCAGGCACCCGACTCCGGGGAGAGAGCGATGATATCGTTGGCCTGCAACTTTCGTCCCTGCAGGCCACCAAGGCCAAGCTCTGGTGCCGTGGACTTGGAATCGAGAAAGAGCGGAATCTCGGGGAAGCCGCCCTTGACAGCGAGGTAGGCCCTGAGTCCGTCGCCGAAAACGCTACCAATATTGAGTGTCTGTCCCTGCTTCACAATGATGCGAGACCACATTGGCCGTTCCTCGCCGTCGACGGTTACGGGCACTTGGGCACCACAGACGGCCACAATGGCCGACTCATGAAACTCGAGCTCTGGGCCCGTCATGGTGATCTCGAGGAACTCGACGCTTGGATCATTGCCAACGAGGATGTTGGCGACTCGGCTGCTCAGATCGTCCATCGGGCCGCTCGGGGGCACTCCATGCCCCACCGTCGTTCGTCCAGGGTAGTCCTGGACCGTGGTTAAGACACCGGGGCTGAGGACTTGCATAGCGCATACCTCGACCTGGAAGGCGGCTAGGAAATTGGCAAGGGTGTTGCCTTTGGAGAAGTTGTCAGACTGAAGGACTTGCAAAAGATACTGCAAATTCGTTTGAGTACCTTGCAAGGTTGTATTCGCTAGCGCCGCAATCATCTTTCTCTGTGCGTCGGCTCGGCCATCAGGGCTGTGTACCATGATCTTGGCAATCAATGGGTCGTAAAAAGGCGTGATATGCTGGTCGTTTTTCACCCAGGTATCGACACGGACGCCGTCGCCTTGCGGCCAGCTTACGTTCTGGAGGAGGCCCGGACTGGGGGTAAAGTCGAGCAGAGGGATCTCTGCGTATATTCTCGCCTCGATGGCCGAACCGCGCGGGTGTGCCTGTTGGAAGCCCTGCAGTTCATCTGAAGGTATGCCCAACTGGCCGCCACGTTCGTAGTCGGCCTGGTAAAGCATCAGATGTACGAGGTCGACTCGGTAGCACATCTCGGTGATGCCATGCTCAATCTGCAACCGCGTGTTCATCTCCAGGAAGAAGAAATCGGCCGTCTCGTCGTCGACGAGGAACTCCACGGTGCCTGCGCTTTTGTACTTGAGATGTGAGGCGTAACTGACTGCGGCTTGCAGCATCTTCTCGCGCAGACCAGGGGTCCGCTCTACGAACGGGCTAGGGCATTCCTCAATTACCTTCTGATGACGCCGTTGAAGAGAGCATTCCCTCTCTCCGAAAGCGACTACTCGGGCACCGTTTCCGAATACTTGCACCTCAATGTGCCGAGAGCGTGGATAGTACTTCTCCAGGAAGACTCCGGTGTCCTTGAAGAGGACACCGGCACGGCTTTCCACCGTGGCGAAGGCCTTTGGGACATCTTGTTCGTCATGGCAAATCTGCAAGCCCATGCCGCCGCCACCCCCGGTGGGTTTCAAAATGACGGGGAACCCAAGTTTCTTGGCGCCCTCAATGGCCTCGTGTGCTGATGATAGGAGCGATGTTCCGGGGATGACCGGGACATTGACAGCTTGGGCGATGGACCTCGCCTCGTGCTTGAGGCCCATTGCCTGGATTGATGCCGACGGGGGGCCGATGAAGGTAAGGCCTGCGGCGGCGACGGTGTCGGCAAAGGCGACATTTTCGCTCAGAAAGCCATAGCCGGGGAAAACGGCGTCGGCGCCTGTGCTTCTACAGACGTCGAGGATGGCATCGCTGCTGCAGTGCTCAGCGAGGTGCCCAACGGGGCCAATGGCACTCAGGCCGAGGCATGGAGTAATACTCACATGTCGGTGTAGGTTTCGTTACCCCGCAGCAAGGCTGCTTCATCCGCCTGCAGAACGTGCAGTGAAGTTGCGTCGGCAGCGGTATAGACAGCGGCACTGAGGACGCCGAGTTCGCGGCATGCCTTGATGCAGCGGACGGCTATCTCGCCTCGGTTGGCCACCAAGACCTTGTTGATATTTCGAAGAGGTTTGGGCTCCACGTCGCCGCTGGCATTCGACATTGTCAACGATATGCTGGAAGCAATTTTGGTGGGTGATGAATAGGGAAGAAAGGCTATAATAGGATAATTGGAAGGTTCGGATTCTTTTCAATCCTTCCTTGGGCCGGCGGATTCGATCCGTTGGTCTGCAGCATCGTAAGGACTGGCTGGGCGCTATTGCGCCGGTTGCTATTCTCATCGAAACTTCATGGCTTTAACCCAACTGCTGATACCTCGAAGTGAGGGGTGTCGGTTCCGGATAACGGGTCGCTGATGGGTTGCGCGAGAGTCTTGGTTTGTAAGGTGAAGGTTTGATCGATCAAGCTTCCCTCCCTGGTGCTATCAAATGCCGATTACCCCCCCAGCATGTGGCAGGTATCCACCGACAAGTACCTACCTAGGTACTTGATGGCTCAAGGTACATAGTAGGTCTGTAGCCTGTTAGGTAATCATAGCTCCTCCTGCTGGTGGGGTTTAGCGATAAGAACCGCCTGCTGCGGCTGCGAAGCTTGTTCCCCAATGTAATACCACCTCGTCTTGGAGTAATCCCTACCTATCTAACTATGACGGAGCTACTCCAACTCCCTAGATACCTATATGCCATATCCTACTTACCTACCTACCTACGTTGACACCTCTCGACCGTCCTTCCAGCTGCTACCCGAGACAAGGTCGGCCGACGGAGATCGAAAGACGAGATGGCTGCTTGCCGCGTGCTCTCTCCTTTTCCCTTGCGTCACTGCCCGCGCCCTCTTCCTTCTTTTCGCACGAAACAGCAGTCGTTCGTACAACCCCTCAGGATGGCTTCAGGGCTTGCACGCAAATATGAGATCAACGCCGACATGGGCGAGGGCTTCGGCCGATGGAAGATGGGCCCGGACGAAGAGTTGATGCCTTATATCGATGCCGCTAACATTGCCTGCGGATTTCACGCCGGCGACCCAGCCATCATGCTCAAGACCGTCCGCTTGTGCAAAAGGCACGGCGTCAAGGCCGGAGCCCATCCCGGGCTTCAGGACATGCTCGGCTTTGGCCGCAGGAAAATGGAGACCGACCCCAACGATATGTACGCCATGGTCTTGTATCAGGTAGGCGCCCTCAAGGCCATATTGGACTCTGAAGGTGTCGAGCTGTCCCACGTCAAACCGCATGGCGAGCTCTTCTTCTACATGCAGAGGGATTAACTCATCACGAAAGCCGTCCTCGAGGCCGAGGAAGGGAAATGCGACCAACCTACTGCCGACCACACCTGCACGCAGATGCCAAGAGCATGGTGCCAGCTGGCTACGGACGTTGAGCATTCGCCATCTACTTATCCGCGCCGATTCATTGGAGACATAGGAGGGGCGACCGCGGTTACTCAACAGCTGCAATCGTACATATAGTCAAGCATCTGCGGCGTGACGGGACATGCGCACTAAAAAGAAAAAGGAAAAAAAGAAGCACGTAATTCTACGACTCGGCAGTTGAGACTCCTCAGCCTTCACCTTCATCAACCCCAACCGTATTAGTTCACTGAAAGGCAACTGATCAGTCCCATCTCCGTCATGGATCCCGTATCGGCCGCCGGCTTGGCCATCAGCGTTGCATCCATCGGCCTACAGGTCTACACTGGTTGCGTGCAAGGTGACAACCCGCCGTCAGCTCCGCATGTGCATCTGGATATTAATCAGACTCAGGTATTCAGCTGCTCATCACAGCCAGGAACTTCCCCGACGACTGCAAGTTCCTTAATCTGCGGCTGCGGATGGAGCAACAGAGGTTGTTTGCTTGGAGTGAGACGTCCGGGCTTCTCGACCTGGACAAGAATCAGCAGGAAAAGGTCCTCGGTACCAACACCTTCATGCTCCACCGGACCACGGTTCTTGACCTCCTGGTCCAGGTCCAGTGCTTGTTCAAGGAGTTTGAGGAGCATCAGCGCCGCAACGGGCGGCTGAAGCCGGCCTCGGACCCGGACACGGTCCTCGAACACCCCGAGAAGGACGCTGCCGCCGCCAACTTTCCCTTGCCGGAGAGGCGAAGGGACTTCATCAAGCGAGCAATGGGGAAGCTCAAGAGCCAGTCCCGAGAGACCTTTCTCAGGCTAAGCTGGGTCTCTTTCGACAAAAGCGCATTCGAGATCCTCTTGTCTCGGTTCGCTACCCTGAACGATAACATGACCGACATCTTGGACGCCCGTCTGCAGGTGGAGATCCGCGATACGGTGCAAGATACCAACCGAGGGGTCTTGCAGCTGCATCATCGCATCGCAGACCTGGGTCGGCTCGTGATGGCGCTGAACCTGAAGCTCGAGAACACCGCGCCGGCGAGCATTTCGTCCATGTCCAAAGCTCAGCGGGAGAAGAACGCGGACGGCCTGGAGCTCATCTCCAAGCTAGCCAAGTTCAAGGCCTTCAACGAGTCGATAGAGTATGAGAATCAGCAGCAGCAGCAGCAGCAGCAGCAGCCGTGGGATGAAGCAACGGCCATGTCTTTGGAGCTAGGGAAACCGGCGCAACGGGATAAGCTCGTCTTGGACAGAGGAATAATCACACTGCTCGACGAAGAACCCGGGGAATTTGATCAGCCGAGGTGCGAGGCGACCCTTCGCACCGCTGACGGGTCCAGCAAGAGAGTGTGGATAGAATGGAAGGAATACGACCGCCAAAAAGCCGGGGACGAGTCGCCCCCGAGAACGGTCATTATTGATAGGGTAGGCAAGCTTGCCGCCTTACTGAACCACAGCCCGAAACCCGAGGCCTTCCGAACGCTGCATTGCCTCGGCTTCTTCGACATGCTAGGCCCCGAAGATGACGCGCCGGAAGACGACAGCCTGGACAGGAAGCTGGGCCTTGTTTTTGAACGGCCCAGTAGCGGTGATCTGCACCCGTCCCTGCCTCCCGTATCACTGCGCGAGCTCCTCCTACTCGAGAGGAAACCTCGCGTCACGGAGAGAATCAAACTGGCGCACGCCATCAGCAATTGTCTCTTGTACCTTCACGCCGTGAACTGGCTTCACAAGGGGCTTCGCAGCCACAACGTGGTCTTCTTTCGAGCCAAGGGCGGCCGCGTCAACTATGCGGAGCCATACCTAACTGGGTTCGACTATTCGCGTCCCGCCCGGAGCGATGAGGCAACAGACATTCCCCAGGACGATGCCGAGTACAACCTGTACCGTCACCCCCAGGTGCAGCTAACGAACCCCGCCGAGAGGGAACGGTTCAAGAAGAGCTTCGACATATACAGCCTCGGCGTGCTCTTTGTCGAGATCGCTCACTGGGCGCCGGTGGACGTCGTTCTCGGCTACGACATCAGTCGGCGGCCCAGTCTCGCCCTAAAGGTCAGAGACGCTCTCCTCGCCGAGGACCGTGTCGCCGACCTCGGCGCCAGCATGGGGGAGCTGTTCGAAGAGGCGGCCCGGAAGTGTATCGCAGGCGGCGAGGCTCTGGGGTTGACGGACGGTGACTTTGAGACGCAATACGATGTGGCGGCGCGGCTCTCGATGCGGTTCTACGAGGACGTGGTGAAGCAGCTGGATGGCGTGCGCGTTTAGGGGCGTCTTCCTTGGATGGTGCGGATAGGTTTGAGGATGATGTTGAGTTATTGCAGCTCAGCAGATAGATTCAGGCGATTTAGTCGGAATGAAGTGTGTAATGTATCAAACCAAGCACATCCGTCCTTCACGCGATATAAGAGCGTCCCTTGCTGCCCAAAGAGCACATGAGGTTGATCTCCACATCGTCATGTGTCGATGTCTGCCCATTCCCCCATGATCCTGCCAAATTCCATGTCTGCCCCTTTCCAGTTGCTCCGCACCGCCTCCTCGACCCACGGCCCGCGCGGCTTGATGCCGAGCCTGAAAGCCGAGGGCATCGTCATGAAGCCCGCCACGTCCATGGCCATCGTATCGACCTCTTGCACGGGCACGATGTCAAAGGCCCACAGCAGACTGGCAAACACCATGAACATGTTGTCCGTGGCCACCCGCCTGCCGAGGCAGCTCCTCCTGCCCTGCCCGAACACCGCCAGCGGCAGGTCGGCGCGCACGCTCCCGTCCAGGTCCAGCCACCTTTCCGGCACGAAGGCCGCGACGTGCCCGGCCTCCTCGCCAAAGACGTCCCTGTCGCGCCCGATTGCCCACGCGTTGGCGAACACGGTGGCGCCCTTGGCGATGCGCGTGCCGTGGACCTCGTCCTCCTCGTCCGCCCTCCGCGGGACGCCCCCGGGCGCCACCGGCCGCCACCGCACGACCTCGGACACGACGGCGTCGACGTACGACAGCCTCGGCCGGTCGGCGAACCGCGGCGGCCGCTTGCGGCCCACGAACTTGTCCAGGACGGCGTGCGCCCGCGCCACAAAGTCCCCGTTCTCGTGGGCGGCTGCCAGCAGCCACATCATCTGCCGCGGGGCCGTCTCCATGCCTCCCTGCACGCTGGTGGCGAGCGCGAAGGCGAGGTCGAGCTCCGGCGCGGAGTCGCCCCCGACGGCGTTCTTGGCGGCCACGGCGCGCGCCTGCTTGGTCGCGTTCCAGCCCGGCGCGTTCATCCCCTGGCAGAGCAGGCGGAGGTATAGCGCGCTCTGCGACTTGAACAGCCGGTCCGCGGCGCGGCGCCAGGGCGACACGAGCGCAGGCAGGTGGCGGAGGGGCGGGACGAAGTCGACGAGGCCCGGGTTGGCGGCGACGTAGGTGACCTCCCTGTGCACGTCCATGATCTGGTTGAAGAGGGGGTCGCCGGTGGAGGGGACGCGGATGCCGTAGTGCAGCCCCAGGATGACGCTGGCCTGCGTGCGCTCGAGAAGGTGGCAGATCTCGGTGCTCTCCATGACAGCGTCGTCTTCGCCCTGTGTCTGGGTGGCGCTCAGCAGGTCGACCAACAGCTGTTTCGACTCGAGCTCCATCAGGGGCTGGTACCGGGGTGCGGCGACGGCCCCGAGGCTCGGCGACAGCATGCGGTGCTGCAGCTTCAGGTCGGCGTCGTAGTCGTGCATCAGGGTGAACCTGGACTTGCCCGGCCCGGAGGCCCCGGTGATCATCTCCATGCTCACCGAGCTCGGCCGGTTGCTGTAGCGCGCTCCGCGTTTCCCAAAGAGCTCCGTGGCCGCCTCGGAGGTGTTGAGGACGACCGTCGGGACGATGCCGAAGAGCTTGGACGCGGCCACCGGCCCGCTGGCCCTGGCCCATCGGTCCCAGTTCGCGAGCGGCCTCTCGGGCGGCGAGCTGTGGAGGTCGCCGATGACGGGGAGCTTGAGTGGTTTCCGGGATGGGCTGCCGTGTTTGGATCTCGCGGCAACGAAAAGGGCCGTCACCAGCGCGACGGCCACTAGCAGAGCAACGGGGGCTAAATCGCTGGCCATATTTTTCTATTTTTTATTTTTTTTCCAAGTTTTTCGTCGTCGGAACCATTTTCGTCCGATGGAAGGCGCAGCTCGACGGGATGAGAGGGCGACGTGACATCCCATCATCGGAAGCAAATGCTACCTGATTAATAGAGAAAGCCTGCTGCATCGTTCGCCCAGCCGGGTTTCTGCAGCCGGGCGGGGAAGTTGTCGAAGCCATTGTTTGCGATCCTCAACCCTGCGCGCGGCAGCGTCATGGTCTCTGGGCATGCTGTTTGGAGCGGGGCACCGGATAAGAGCTTCTCTGGTTTGCACGCGCTTATTGATTGTCGGAAATCGAGAAAGGTGAGGTTCCGAGCCTTGGCCGGGAGGAGGGGAAGGGAGGAAGGCCAGAAACAGAAGGTCGGCAGCAAATGACCCCAGCGTCCGTGTGAGTGGAGATGATGGAATGGATGAATGATGGGACGATGAGGTGCCTGAAGCTAGCTGGCAGGGCTCACCAAGTACGTACCTATGGTGGAGTGCACCTGTGTAGGTAGTGTGCCTGTGGCAACCTCCCCCCTCTCGAAAAATGCTCCCCCCTCTTAAAAATACTAATTCACTCTTCTTGATAATGAATTCTTCCTGACTTCCCTTGTTGCTTACTGCTTGTTAAAATGGGTTAGTGCTCCTGTAGTTATATCTCAGGGATAACATTACTGCTGTTGCTGTGGTCCTTCTGACCAGTGAAGTTAGGCAGGTTAATAGTGAGGTCTATAGGGTTAATAGTGTTCTGAAAGTTAAGGCCTTTAGTAGTGTGGTTGTTCTAGGTGCTGTTAGCCATGTTGCGTTAGAGGCTGCTTGATAAGCTGTCGTTGGTCCGTGGGGTATTGCTCTTGTTAGCTGGGAGTGTAGTGCTGACGACGTTGTTACCCTCAATGAGCAATTCAGTGCCCGGGGTGCCATCAGACTTGTCAAGGTCGTTGACGAGTGTTATTGGATTGACTCCTGCAAGGTGCGAAAGTCGCAGCACCATTGTAACTGCATCGTCTGCGTTGCGGTTCAGACGGCTTTGGTAGGCCCAAAGTGCTTCGTCAATGTTGTTGTCGGTGTCCGGATTATAGTCCGCTGCGGCCTCGTTGGCTTGAATGACTCCGGTGCTTTCTCTGCTGCCCGTGAAGAAGAAGCGTGGGTAGTGTGAAGCCGTGGTTGTTCGACTTCCGGGGTGTGTGGTCGAGTGTCTGGGTTCAGCGTGATGGAGGACCAGGACGGAGTGGAGACAGCTCTCAGATGTCTACCTTTGTCGAAGTCGATGGGGCCTATGCGGGCGTTGCCGTCTATAGTGGTCAGGTCTTCTAGTGTCTATGGCGTTAGTGACTTAGAGAAGTTAAGTCTCCCTATGCCAGCAGTAACTATAGACAGTTGCTTAGCTGACAGTAGTTCTGCTGTTAGCTTAGTAGGAGCCAGAGGGGTAGTAACGTTGTTGCTGCCGCTTTAAAGGTAGGTCCTTAAGGCTTATTGCCACCGCTGTAAGAAGTGCAGGAGGGCTTTTGCTCTGCTTAACCACTCAACTAGGTAGTCGGTATCAAAGTGAGTAGGTCGATTGGGGTTGTCTAGGATTGCTTCTAGTAGCTGCTAGGCTGCAGCCTTGTCGTCTTCCGTGACGATTGATGGATTCGCAGCTTCAACGAAACGTAGAAGCTTGGCTGTCTGACGTCGTAAGTTGTCAATGGACATGGGTAGCAGGGCAGGGGTTGACAGGCACCTGTGTAGGTAGTGTGCCTGTGGCACTAGCGAAAGCCCCCCCGCCGCCCCGGAAGCATCGCCGGGTGGGGCCGGGCTGTTGACGGGCTAGCGGCCCGTTCAGCCCGGCGGGGCAGCACAGCTTGCTCCAAAATCAACATCAATCAAGGCACGGAGGAGATATCGCCCCGGGACACTCTTCAATTGACAAGTCGTTGGAACAAATCATCGTAGCAGAGTCGAACGCCTTGCCGTCGCCCAATCCGGCATCTTCCCGTCTCTCTCTGTGACCACCTAGGTTTACTGCCGGCTTTGATCCTCCCTGACTCCAGAGCCCAAAGGCCTCGGCCCGTCTAATGGCAGCACAAAGCTCGGAACCAGACCGATTGTCCCGCTCGTTGTCTGTTACTTTGACGCCGACAAAGATGGACCCCCATCTCGTTCGGAGGCAGTCGCGCGGCCGCAAGAGGTCCCACGTCCTCCCCCCCCCCCATCCTCGCCCTTCGTCGAGATCTATAACAAGTACCACTGCGGCCCGGGCCACTTCTCGAAGCGCAAACAGCTCGGCCTCTTCTTCAAGCCTCCTTGTATATCAATACATCCATATGAAGACTCGGGATCGTTTGATTGTACATACACCGCGAGCAGTGCTGCACCTCCCATCTCGGGTCATGCCAAACAACATCGCGCTCATTGTCTACCTCATACATGAAGTCCCAAGCAGTCTTGACACCGCTCGGGCCCTCAACCTCGACATCATCTTTATCAGCGAATGCCAAGCGAAACCCGTCACCGTAAAACACGTCCTCCGTGGACTTGCCGGGTTTCGTCTTCGCACCGTATTGGATGAGGTAAATATAGTAACGTTCATCTTCATCGCATCTGATCGCGTCATCAAGGCTTCTCAAAAAGGCCCCTCGTGGGCCTTCTTCATGTATCATGTCCAACAGGAAGGCGTGTTCCCAATGCCTTCCATGGCGGAAAACACCAGAGGGTTTCATACTGATGTCATCACATGAACATCAGAAAGGGCGTGGGAGAAGGAAGGGGGAAAGGAACACTAGTTGAGCTGAAGGACGATAGAAGACTGCGCTGCGAGGTTCCTACCTTTGATGAACTCTCATCAGACCATGCATGTTGCGGGCCCCGCGAGGGAGTTGCTGGAATTCCCACCATCCTGCAGAGGTTGGCCGAGGACGAGCTAGGTGGAAGGCATCAAGGTGGCCAAAGCTGAAGCGTATTTTTGGGAAGCACGGTAGACAAAGAATTTGGTTCTATGCTTCTCAAGCCTCTTGCCTGGGGGCAATGGCGATAGCAATGCTCGACCAAGATAGTGACGATGAATCAGGGCACGGGGGAGATTTTGCCTCAGAACGGTTTGCAGTTAACAAGTCATTGGAACAAAAATATCATAGCCAGACCTACTTCTCCCTATACCGAGTCAAACGGCCCACTGTTGGTTAGGGAAAGCGAGCCGCACGGTAAAAACAAACCAAATGGTTTGTTTGCCTTGTCAAATTCTCCAAGAAAGCTTACTCCTCCACTTCTGGCTTCTGGGCATAAACCACATGGCTGTGATTGTACATGGTCAGCTGAAGCCGAGGCCGGCGCAAGTTGAAAGGGAGGGGGGGGGGGGGGGCGAGGAAGACTCACAAGTTGAAATAGGCGTGAAAAGCTCTAGACTTCAACTCGCGACGTACGTGTGCTAGGAGCACGAAAACCTCCTCTTTCGTCCATCCGAGCACACTGGTAAACATTCTTAGGGTGAATCCCTCCAAGCCATCGAGGATTTGGATCAAGTTGATCAAGCCGCACTCCTTGTAGTGAGGGTCCTTGGGCCAGTCCCCAATGGGTATTTTGAACTTTTGATGGGTGATGTTGACGAAGCCTGCGTCCTTGACCCAGCCCTCCAGCTTGGGTCCCGGGTTGGGCTCACGATTCACCAGTTTGCATGCTTCGAAGAACTTGTCCACCCAGTGACTGGTGTAGTGCTCATCCGTGAGTGTGCCATCGTCAGACATATACTGGATGTTGTAGTCTTGAAATTCAACCCAGCCACCGGGGTTTGTATTTCTAACATCGGTGTCAGTCGCTCCGACTGTTTGTGTTCGGTGTTTGGTGTGGCACGGGACGTACCTGAAAATCCTTCGCATAAGTTTAGGCCAGTCTCCCAGAGACGCAGCCATGTATCGACAGAAAATAAAGTCGTATTTCTCCGTGACCCACGAGTCCTCGACGTCATCAATCTCGAACTTGACATTCGGTGGAACCCTAGTGTATGTTAGTTTAGGTTTCTTGCCAGAAAAAGAGTGCGTAGAATTGTGCATACCAAGTCGGCTGAATGGCGCTCAAGTCATTTCCAACGATCTAGACGGGCCCATGGCTGTCAGCCTTTTTCAATGCGATTGCGATTTTGGTTCATGGCTAGAAGAGATTCAGCAACATCCATACCTCTGCGTTGGGGAACTCGTCGGCTGCTTGCATCGCCCCTGAGATTCATCAGTCAAAAGTATATAAAGTGTGCGAAGAAAGAAGAACCTACACACTCCCGTCCCAGTTCCAATGTCGAGAATCCGGTGGATCTTATTCTTATCAACGGGGGCCAGGTAGAGCTTGTTACCGATCACTTTGACCATAAGCATGTGATTGAAATCCAGACGGTCCATCTCGGTCTTTCGCAATGAGCGCGGTTAGTAAGTAGTAGAGAGCACCTCGATAACGACCTGTAACTGGGCCATACCTCATCATTTGGACCCCAGTATGCTGCTCCACGTTAATGATTTGTGAATGTTAGAGCGGGACCGATATTGTACTTACTACCAGGTCGGAAAGAATGGTAACGACGGCCATGCTCTGTAGGGTAGTCGGTCACGCTCGAAGTCAGAGATCCAGTGTAAGCCGACCTGCTCAATCAGCTTCGCGTCGAGGGGTAGCAAGACGGAAAGTCCCTCACCACCGATCTTCAACCGTGGATGCAGTTTCGGAGGCCTATCGTTCTAGTTAGCAGGCCATTCTGCAACGGTCAGGTGGATAAGGATGCTGGCATAACGAACATTATCCAGATCGTCGTGCTCGATCACGTCTACCTCATTGGCGTTCTCAGGCGAACCCGGCACGGCCGGGGAGGCAGCCGTGGGCTGGGAGGGAGATGCGGTTCCGGACCCGGCTGGGGGTGCGGTCTCTTCCTTGGTTGTTGGTTCGGCCATCTTGGTGTCAGCCCACGCAAAGACTGGCGGTATTGCTCTGACCACACGGTATAAAAATCTTAGCTTATTGTCTGTGAGGTTTGAAATTGAAAGATAGTCAACACGTCAAGTCTGGAAGGTGAGGGGAACAGGAAAAAGAGGTCGTGGCCAGATGGCGAGGGGAGACCCGTCTTCACTGCTTGCTTAAATCTATCCTGCGGCCCCCTGTAATTTGGCACCCGTTGTTGGTGCAAGTCTGTTGTGCGTGCATTCAGAATGCACGTCGGCGCTCCATCTTCCAGATCTGGCGAAAGCGCCTCGCATGCATCCAGGGTTGGAGACTAATCAACGTCTCGCTAACAGACACAGCGGGGCAGCGATCCATCAATGCAGCCTCTGATGCTTGCTGTTTTGATGCAGATAAAGTCTGTACTCCGAATACTTATCAGTGACTGGCAAACGTTTCTGCAGCAGGGGGCTGGACGGCACAGTCCATGTTTGTCGGGCCAGGACTGCATACTGGATCCACTCTTGGCGAGTAAGTATAGTAGGAGTATCCGTAGTACTGTATTATATACCACCATTCTCGTGAAGAACTACACGAGCATGAGCCGTGCCTGTATAGGAATTGATGGCAACAGACCCAAGCTCTTGAACCTGGTCTGCGTGGAGTTTGAGAGTTTCCAAGTGAAAAGAATACGCCGCCTTGTCCGTACTTCACGCGGCCGAGGTACGGACGCACCAGGCAGTCCTTGTTGGCAATCTATGACTTCATCTTCTCCCGTCCTTGTGGCGGACAATACTTCTTAAAAAGAGCCTGACGAACAGGGCGGGGAAGAGGGAAGGTCCGCTCCGTGCAGAGAATGCGGCGGGCTCTTTGAGGGAACTCCATCTTCCCGCTTGGTTACTAGCGAGGAGCTGGTTGAAGTAGAAGCCCAGACAGAGCCACAGTGACCTGCACCGATTTCTTGAAGCTGGTCTGCCGTATCAGCGGTGGTTAATTGGCGAGTATCGAGTTGCGTATGCTCCACGGGGGCGGTGTGTCCCGGAATTGCTATCGTGCTGTGTGCGTTCTCTTGTTGAATTCTGATGTTCAGGAGTAAAAGAGGAGAAGAGAACCCTGGGGGCGGCGGCATGGTCTGGTATTCATCGTCTGCCGGTTGACTTTTGTTGGTTTGCCGCCTACGACATTTCTCCGATACCTGCCATAAGCTATCCATACTCCTGCTTGGACTCTTTGGTTTCTCGGGGAAAGTGTGCCTGACCCTCGGCTAGGACGTCCCTGACGATTTGCTTTATCTCCTTGCTATTGTGGCGCTGGAGGTGCTCGGGCTGACCTTATCCGCGCCGTGAGGAGAGTACTCGCTGCCGACGTTGGGCTTTGCATTTCCGTAGGTCCAAATTGTTGTAACATTTGAGGTGGTGCTTTCTCGCTCACCAGTCGTCCCCTACTTTGTGAGACCGGAAACCATTCGGCCGTTCTGGTGCCTAAGTATTCGCCGGTACCCTAAGAGAAAGAGCTGCCGCTCCAGCGACGGCTCCCGCGATACCTTGTCTGCTGCATGGTCGACAGGTTTTATTCCGTTTCTGTCACGGAGCTTTAGGTCTGCTCCTGATTCAAAGAGCACGCGGAATATATCCAAGTTGTCCCTCCGGGCAGCGAAGTGTAGCGCCGTCTGCCCGAAGCGATCTTGTGATGACAACAGCCTGGACCGCTTGCTCTCCTCTGGAACGAGGAGCAACAACCGCCGCACCATCGCGGCAGACGTCTTTTCGGCCGCGTAGTGAAGGGCCGTCATGCCGTGGGAGTCTTTGATGAACATCAGGTCCTGAGCGTGTCCGAACGCGTTGAAGCCGTCGTGGTCGCACGACCCGACCTCCATGAACACGTGGAGGGCTGTCTTCCCGTCGAAGCACTGGGCCCGGACGTTGGCACCCAACCGGACGAGGGGTCGCATCCCGAGATTTTTCTTGATCCTGTGGTGGATCGGAGTCATTCCACGTCTATCTTTAGCGTTAATGTCGCCATCCTGTTGAATAGGCGACTCCAGTATCGAAACGTTTGGTATCCTAGATGCTATATGGACGGCCATCTCTCCGGTGCGATTCCGCAAATGGACATCGGCGCCGTACTTGACAAGCATTTGTACTATCGAACAACCCGTCGTTCCGAGAGCGATGTGTATGGCGGCGTCCCCTCCTTTGTTCTGGATACCTGTGTTGGCCCCATGCCGGAGCAGTAGGTGAACCATTGCGACCTCTTCGTATTTTACGGCAAGGTGAAGAGCAGTCTCTCCGCACTTATTTTCCAGGTTGACGTTTGCAGCGCGGAGTCCATTGCCAACTTGGTCACCTGTCAGGAACTGGGCCGTCTCGACGATTTCCCCGCGAGCTGCGCAGTGCAAAGCCGAATCACCGCGGCCGTCTTGCGCGTCGATGTCGAATCCCAGTTTCAGTACAAAAGAGGCGGAGAGGAACATCCGGTGATGAGAGAGCAGGTGAAGGGGGGTACGAGAGCCCCAGGCGTCTTCTCCTTTGCTATCCATGGATGCAACGAATTGCCATGCCGTCCAGAATGTCCGCCGCACGTCCGCGAGTTGGCGCAGCACCTTCTCCGCCAACATTCCGCCCCGCTCAACTTGCCGGGCGTGGTAGAAGACGCCAGAGAGAGCATAGTGAAGAAAAGGAAGGTCAGTTTCGGAAAGGGAGCGTTTCCCTTGTACTTTGCCCGGCTGACATATCTGTAGGAAGTGGCTGCCCTGAAGAATGCAGGCCATGCAGCACTCTGCCAGTATCTCGTGTCTTTCGGAGAGCGAACGTTGAGGCCCGTCGGCCTGCAAGAAGGACAGCCCGCTGCCTATCAAGAGAAATTCGTGGACGGACTCGTGGATGAACTGAACGGGCGACCAGTCGAAGGTCCGTTGTCGCTCCGATCCAGTGTTTTCGACAGTACGCCTGCGCTTGGCGGGGATGGTATACTCATCTGACCAGGGCGATATTGTTTCCGTAGAAGATTCATTGCGATCGGTCTTCTCCTCGAGAGCCTCATCCATGAGAATCCTCATCTTCTCGAGAAACCCCTTTCATGAGAATCCTCATCTTCTCGAGAGCCTCATCCTCGAGGGCCCCTAGGCTCTCTTCATACTCAGATGATTCGCGCAGCAGGAAGATTTCCGCAAGGCCTCTGGTATACAGCCGCAGCTGCATTAACAACTGTTCTGGGTCTCCGTTCAATTACGGCTCACGCGCCTCAACTTCTACTCGAAACTGTTCCTGCGCGGGTGGGACTATCTTGAAACCAACCACCAATATCTCGACTACTTCTCACAGTTTCTGGCGCCATACCTCTTCGTCTTTGGCGCCTTGGCGGTGGTGTTGGCCGCTATGCAGACGACCATCACGGCCGACCCCAACAGCTTGTCTAGATCTACCACGACTGCGTTCTGCGTTTTCTCCATCGTATTAGTCACCTGCGGCCTATCCTTCTTCCTTGTCTTATACCTTATATTCCAAGTCCGAGAGTTGGCGTTTTTTTTATTCTATCGGCAGGAGGCGAAGTGAGTTGTATCGTATATCATCATTGGTCTCTCTTGTTTGCAGTTGTTAGAAGAGTGTAGACGGGTTGGTTCTTGTATAGATAAGGGAATTCTCTTACTCAGCTTCACCATAGTTATAGGACTAAATATGAAATCTGTATAAGATGAGAGATGTGAGGAGCCCCCACTGCATAGGAGCATCGGCCCAAAGTTACTAAGGTCGTGAATTTGTGAAAACATGACGACTGGCACATGTCTGGTTCGCCTCATATTACCAACGAAGAGAAAGCTGTGGTGATTCTAGTGCCAAGAACATGACCACGGCAGTGGTGAAGAGGAGACATTCGCGACTTCCTGTCCCATTCATCGCCACTTCCTCCCCTATCCTGCGGGTGTAGTTAGTTGGGAAGGAAATCTTGAGCTGTTCTTGCCTTTGGCCGTGAGCGGGCCGGAGCAAGTGTCTCCAGATCGTTGTTTCCGAAACAATACCCTCAAATATTGTCCTTGGAAGGAGCCAAATTCATTGTTGCTCTCCTGAGAGTGAAGCCGAGAGGCCAATCAACATCGCTCTTCGCGTTTTCCCATGGCTAAAACCTTCACATCGTCAAACAGAATGCAGCAGGACACGTCTTTCCCAGAGCACCTACGTCACCGTCACTCGATAGAGCAACAAGTATCACGGTGACGAGGTCAGTCACATAGCCGGCCTCTGATTGCTTCGGCCCGCTGCCCCCGTTCCAAGACAATGACCCGAATCGATATATGGTCCCGTGATCCGGGTGTCCTGTTCACTAGGTGATGTTGGTGGTGCCCGACTGCTGCGCTGCTGACGGGAGAGGCAAATACGAGTCCAACCATCTGGTTCTTGTGGTTACCAGCGGCTTAACTGGCGGGAAGCTCGGGGACTTGTTTGCTTATGCCTGCATCAGCAATGGCCCGGTATAGCGGGCAATAGCTGGACTCTACCGATACAGTCAGACTGTTGCCGCTCGAGGCACTTTGAATCACCCGCGCGTGGGATTGGAGCCTTGTCGTCAGACTGCGTTGCCCGGGCATGGGTTTCCCAAGAGCCGCCATCAACACTCTACTTCGGTCGGATCGAGGACCGCGGCCAATTTGTCAAAATGCGATGGAGGATCCGTCGAGATCCTGCAGCCTGCAGCCTGCATGCAGGTCCTTACGTGCGCACTACAGCAAGCCGTTTGCAGACCGTCAGCGCTATACTCCGGGCCAAGGAACCGAATTCGGACGCAGAAAGTTGGCCGGGCGAGCCCCCCATTGCCAAGCGAGGCTTGTGTCGGCCAGCCCGTCATATCGCAAACACTTATAGTGTCTTGGTACGGTGTCATTCCCAGACAGGCGCACCAAGCCGCCCGTGCGATCTGCCACTCCTTTCTGGGACTTGGCTGACGAATTAACCCATCTAGCAAGCATCCCAAATCTGGCATCACGGATCCGGCCTACACTCCCGCTCCTATCGTATGTCGGCCAATGTGGGCGAGAGGCGACTCCGCACTTACTCCCCACACAATGTTTCGTTTCGACGCAGGACGGAATGGGCGCGCAACGGAACAGTAACAGCCGCCCGCACTACCACACTTGACCGTCCATCCATCCTCCCTCGATAAAAGACGCATTGTGCGACACAGGCGATGGCGAACACGCGCCCCGCCAACCCCTTTTGGCGACTCAGCCGCAACTCTGGTCTGCATCCCTGCCAGCTGCGAGTGGCGAGCCACAGTCTTCCCTGTCTTGCATCATGTCCAGGCCTCTTACCCCCTGGGGTGTGTCCAGCGCCCTGTTACCTCGCCTCTGCAGCCGTCTCTTCTTTCCCGTCTCCGATTACTGGTTCATCACACGGAAGATTGCCAACGCGAGAAGCTAGACGTGGCCTGCCAAAACTCAACTTCATCGACATCGCTCGCTGCAGAGTTTTGCGGTCGGGCATGGGGCTTTCGCTCGAGGAGAAAGCCAGAACAAAGACCTGGCTCAAATACACGCGAGGCAAATGCCCTCGTTCATGTGTGGGTGTCGTTCCCGTGCAGCATGCGCGCGGCGAGCCGCGGACTGCCTGTCAGGTTGCAGAAACGATGCCGCCAGCCTTGGTGACGCCCAAAGTCAAATGCGCAAATACCAAGATTCGGTGTTGTGTTTCCCCTCAAAGCACCTCGAGACTAAACCTTGCCCTCCAAAGAAAGAAAGAAAAAAAAAGAAAGAAAGAAAACGGCCCTGGATAGTCCGCTTGTGCGCTGTCTTGCAAGACGATTACCCAGCAAGGCCGCGTAACGCGCGAAGCCTCAAACATGTCAGCGCACGTCGGATGGAGCCAAAGACAGAGGCTGTCAGTGAACGCAACCCTGTCTGTCATCGCAGACCTCGTCGCCCCTAAACATGTTAGATGCCATGCCGAATCTAGTATATCAAACGCTCGACGGAGTGCATCATCCCCATGCCACTTGTTCGGTCCGGCTGGGCTGCAGAGGCCAAGACGCTTGCTTTGCGGACTTTGGTAGCCCGTAGCGTGCCCCTTTCTCCCCCCCTCTTACTGCCCGCTTGTCCTATAGTATCGGTACCTCTTACGTCTCGCAGCTTAGCAGGTGGGCGAAGTTGGTGGTTGAAACTCGTCTCGTCAAAAGTTTCTGCCCCCTTTTCTTGGGGACCGGCTGAACTCATATGGCCGCCGTTACATCTGGTGTGCCTGTCGATATTGACAGGGCAGAATCACTCATCAAATGAAGGCGTTCCCGTCCGTGCGAGCGCCGACGCGGCATTCAAAGGACCGAATTCGTCGCTATTAGACCGTTTCCCGAAGGGGTGGTGTGTATGGATGCCCCTTGTACTACCACCTATATATGGTAGTTTATCGCACGGGAATTTTTGTAGAGCAGGGGGGGTGGGGGGCGTGCTGTATACCCAGACCCGGGGCCAGCGACGATCACTCACGTCCATCGGCAGCAAGCGCTCAGACACGGCCGGTGATCAATGACGGGTGCTGGGCATGATCCATGAACCCCGTCCCGTCTTCTAGAACCCTGCCGCCCGTCGTTGCGCGCGTGCTGCTCAACCGCCCTGGAAGAGAGAGGCTTGCTTTCTCTTGTCCGACAGTACAAACTGTAGTATACTTGACCACATCTTATTTGGGGAACAAGTCTCAACCGGCGCGGCACCGCCCCCCTCCTATCCCTGAGATATCAACGTTTTGAAGCAGAAAAGGCTTGGGGTGTCGAGGTTCTCAAGAGGGGCCGCCTTGCAACCGTACAATGGGATCATGACGGCTGCATGCCGGATACTACCAACTCCGCCCGTCGTCCGACCCACCTCCTCTTCCTCCCCCCTTTCAATCTTCCGATGCTACGACACCGAGTATCTTGCGACGCGCGCGTGGTCCCCAGCTTCCGTGTAGCCGAGCCGGGAATGAGAGGGAGAGGGAGAGGGAGGAACAGAAAATGCGACGTTGAAGCACGCCGCTCCGGTGGCCTGCAGGGGGGTAGAGCGACGGCGGATGAGGATTGGAGTTGGTTTCCCAACGGATGTCTTGGCACAAACCACCGCAAAAAACTCTACGACACCTCCCCCACAGCAAGCGTGGTTATAGAAAAAGAAAAGAGAGAGAGGAAAAAAAAAAGATAATTTTTTTCCTTTTTCCTTTTCCCAGAGACATCAATCACCGAATGGCGACAAATGTCGTCGAAAACTTTTTTCCATAAATAAAATGGACGAAAAGCAAGAGAATCAAAAATAAATAAATAAATGGGACGACCGGGGGGGGGGCGCGGGGGGCGGCGCAAACTTCCCCTAACCCTTTTCCCGCCCGCCCGCCCGCCCGGCAGCTAGGGGCGTGTGTGTCTGTGTGTGCGTGTGCGCGCGCGAGATCCCGTCGAAGCCCGATGCCGGGAACGGAGGTAAAACACACATCACATAAATAAAAATACACGCGCATCGTACATAAGGTTGAATGGAAGGAGGAGTGGGGGGGGGAGGGGGTGGACAGGAAGGATGATGCAACGAAGCTTAACAAACCCCAATCCATTTCTGGATTCCCCGTGATGGACGAGGGTTATGTAAGTATGCTGGAGGAGGGAGGGGGGGGAGCGGGGCGGATATCCAATCCATCTCTCACTCGCTCTCACTCCCAATCTGTCTGCATCTATCCCAAAAGAGCTTCAATGGTGCGAGTGTGCGCGACGACACCAACTCTGTTCCCGCGGTGCTGGGGTTCCCCATCTTGTTCTCGTCCCCCAGTCCAAGGCTCTTCGTCGACCCGTCGCCATGCAGGGTAGATCAACACAGCAACTCAATCCTACCATCACACCCACAAGACACAGACAAACAACTGGCCACATGTACTCTCTCCCTCTCTCCCTCTCTCACCTCGCGTCAAGGGACCATGCAGACCGCATGCTTATTTTGGTGAGAAAATCTTGTTCGGATTAACTAGTAGCTTCAAATGCAAAATAAGATAGACCCATTGAGCTGCGTGTGTCTTTAGGCCAGACTTTTGAACGGAACCTCCAGGGTCACCGGGTCCGCCAACGTTTTCCCCCCACATCCGCTCTGCCAAAAATAAAAACCATTTCCAGTTTCCCAGCGCTCTCTGCCGCCCGGAACGTCAACGTCCCGGGCGGCTTGTTCAGCCTCTCCCCCACTCCCCATCCAGAGGCCAAGCAACCGAATGCTTCTCCGAATCTTCTTCGGCGGCAGAAAGGGATCGGGGTTTGGGGGTCGGGTTCCCCACGCACGAGAGCGAGCTACGTGTCGCCTCAAGCTTCTGGCCCCCCTTGACCCCATCCCTCCCCAGCCCCGACACTGTCACGGGCGCGACCCCCCTTTTTCCCAGCATCCACACAATGACCCCCATCCCGGGCAGCCGCGTTCCGTTCACACCCGGTCCCGGCTAGCAGGATCCGTCGTGTCGTACTTGGGCGCCCGGGTGGGGTGATCAGCATGGCCCGGTGTGGGTTCGTCGTTCCCGCGCAGATCGGGCGGGGGAGGTGTCGTTGTGGGGGGGGGGCAGAGCTATGGGCTTCGGCAAGAGGTCTTTTGCATCGTGTCTCGCGCAGCAAGATGTCGTCTTCGCGATGCCCAGCTTGTTTTTTGTTTTGTTGATTTGATCCCATCTCTCCTTCATTTCCATGTCGGCCAAGATCCTGTCGGCAAGCCGGTGCCTGCCTCGACGGCCGTATTCCGGATACGGCCAAGTCTCGGCTACGAGATGATGGCTTCGCAGATCGACCTTCTGCGATTAAGAGCGTTGCCATTATTGGATCCAGTCCGGGTTGCAAGTCTTTGTCGCCAAAACCGAAAATCCGAAACTCTGTGCGAAGCGAAAAAGAAAACCAAGAGTGTTGGCGTGTGTCGTGGCATCGAGCCCCGGAGCAACGTCGTTCTTGATCTGTATCGTTCGTCGCGCAGTCGTGGACCTTCGTCATTCGTGATAGAATGGTCGTCGTGAATCATCCGCAAGACAGGAACCCAAGTCCAAGGAAATGAAAGAAAGCGAATGCGCAGCAGCGGTTGGTATCTTCCAAACCAGTGTAATGCCGATGGGGGTATCTCTTAAGAAAGCCTCTTGAAACAGAAAAAAGAAACCCAAAAAAGGGAAAAGAGAGAAAAGATTGAAGTCCAGAACGGGGGAATCGAGAATCCAAGGTGTCGGCTTCTTCTGTCTCGGGCTCCAGGCCTGGAGCCGAGCTGGGGGGTGTTGCATTGCTGCGTGTTCCTCTTGTTTAGATGAGAGAAGACCTTAAAGGAAAAGCAAGAAAAAGGAAGGAGAGAAAAAAAAAAAAGACCTGGATATGAAAACAAGCCGCCCATATTCAAGAACCACCCCAAATGTAAATGCACTCAAATGCCCGCCCCGGGCCCAGCCATGATATGATTCGAACGAAGTGATGGCCGAGCTTGCGGCGGAGTGAGTGGTGGTTGTTGTTCCCCGGATATCGAAAAGACAGGATAAGAAATACAAAATCAAACGCTCGCTTGCTGCCGACGAAAAAGGAAAACCGCGGATTATGTCTTTTTTTGTGTCGTGGTTGGTCTCGCGAGATGTCGCCAACACCGTTCGCTCCCCCCGTTGATGCAAAACGCCGATATGCTTTGTGAGGAAGATTTCTATGCCGAGCAAACCGAGAGGACTTCAAATTTTTCTCTCCAGGAACTGTGGAGACCATTCGTGCCTTTGGCAGTGCTATGTGGTCGTGACGACGGGGTAGCTCTCAGACGTGACGGGCGTTGGTTGTCACATGGTCGTCGCGTACTCCTGGTAGCGATCCCAGCCGAAGCCGCCGTAGCCGACGCTCACGCCGCATTGCGGGGTGAACATGCTGGGGAGCGGCAGGGCCGGGATGGGCGCTGTGATGGCGGGTGCACTGTAGTAGAAGCCGGCGGTGGAGAATGGTTGGCTGAAGGAGGGCGTGGGGGAGGGGATTTGGACGTCGCTCATGCCAATGTTGGCCCAGATGGGCGTTGACTCCTGAGAGGTGGATGCGATGCTCGGGCTCGAAGGCAGGACTCTCCATGCGTCGACGGCGGGCAGGTGGGCGGGGGTGGGAGGCTGCGACCAGATGCTTCCGTTTGCGGGCGAGCTGGGGAGCAGGGGAGGCTGCCTGATGACATCGACGACACGGGGAGGAGGAGGCAGCAGGGGCTTCATCAAGCTCATGATGCTGTTCTTGACCTCGTCGCTCTTACCGGACAGCAGCTCGCCGGCACCTTCCTCCTCGAGGCCCTCGAGGGCGGAGACGTGGGTGCGGTAGACAAACTTGTTAATGGCCTGGACAAAATCGTCGTGCAGCTTCTTGCACTGTTGGTCCTTCTCGGACCAGTCGTACGTGTTTGCCTTTGAGTCGACGCAGTGGATCTCCTTGTGGTACTCGACAAGAGCGTCTATCGAGTCCGAGGTCAGCTTGAAGGCGACCTCGTTGCGCAGGACCATGTCGACGTGGACGATGTAGGCCTCGATGTGGAGAAGCTGATAGTTGAAGAGGGCCTCGACGAGGGGGTTTGAGTCCTGGCGCAAGTCGGATTCCGGGGCCTTGGGCAGCATGATGGAGGTGAGAGTCCAGATGGCGTTGGGCGACGACAGAGTCTCGGTAAGACATCTTTGGTGCTGGGGGACGCTGTTGAGGGGACGCTTGACTCGGTTGATGCGCTTCAGTGTCTGGGTCAACCACGGCTCGACCTTGGATCCTAGCACGACGTTGACCGATGAGGCTCTTGGGGCAAAAGCCGCCGCGGAGGCGGGCAGCAGCTGGACAGGCATTTTGCGGAGGAGGGGGGGGATGTTGAAGAAGGGGAGACGACAAAAAGAAGAAAGAAGGCGGCGGTTGTCGTTAAGGGTCGTGTCGTAGTAGAGGGCCTTTCCGCGGTGGTCGTAGATGACTGTTAAGACGTCTTGATCTGGATGTTGGTCTTTTTGTCTTTTATGTCTGTTAGACGCCTCGATAACCGGGGGAAGAATGGGATGGACAGATGGGGGGGGGGGGAGGGAAAATGAAGTAATAAAGGAAACAAGTGATGACGGAGCTGGGCGGTCCCGAGAAGATATACAGCAAGGGATGTTTATTTGGCTTGCACGCCTGCTACCGCGAATAAGAAGAAGAAGATGATGGACGAAGAGCTCGTGAAGAAGGAAGAGGGAGGGTAAGAAAGAGGCAGGATGTGGTGTGAGGGTGGTGGGGTGTTATAATTGACCCCGTCGAGAGGAGGAGGGGGGGGGACTCTCTCTCTCTCTCTTTCCCTTTCTCTGTGCACTCTGTCCAGTCACCCCGTTCAGCACAGTCAGGCCCTATCACGGAAGGGCAAGGTACCTACTGACCGCTGCTGTGGCTGGGTTGCAGCGAGGGTAGGGTACCAGAGACTTGATCCAAGGTGGCGGGCAGGGGTGCCATGGGCGGCTAGATCAAGTACTGGGGTACAAGGGTGCTGCTGTCTTGATTTTTTTTCTGACCCTTTTCCCTCTTTTGCTTCTCACTGTCACTCTCCATCCCCCCCCCCCCCTCCCCTCATTCGCCTCAACCATGCCGGTGGACTTTCGGCTGGCGGTCCATGGGCCATGGGCCATGGTCCAGGAGGTCGGAAGGCGCAAGCAAAAAAGAAGGGGGGGTGGGAGGGGTGTGGGAGGGACCTCCTTTTGGTGCGGTATGTACATGTGCAAGGAGCAAGGAGTGAGGGACAAGAGGGAGAGGAACATTGAGCCACGGGGAGGAGCACGCAAGGTGGGGAAGAGGCAACGGAACCAGAACTCTGAACTCGGAGCCCAGAGACAAGAGCCCAAAGGTGAGGGAGAGACGGCAGTGTAGCTGCCCAGTGGATGGCAGAGACTGACTGACATGCCCGGGAGAGATGCACGCCGGCGGGGGCAGCGCGGCGCTCTGTGCAGTAGCATCGGATCTCCCTAAGGCACTGGGGCTACACCACATAGGTAGTACGCAATGCCTACATACCTGCTATAGGTACTTTCCGCAGGTACATGTCCAGCGGCGGGCCGATACTTGCCATCGTCGTCAACGTCGTCCTCGTCGTCGTCGTCCAAGACTGACGCTACGTTACTAAACCATTATGCAGCTGGAGGCGCGCAAGTAGGCCTCAGGGCTTGGGTCAGGGTAAGACATGACAGCCCCCCCTTTTCCAGATCTGCCTGTCGCCTCAGCCGAAGCTCTATCGTCTCTCGGATACGTAGCATCACACGTGTATGGTAGTAGTGTGTAGTGAGTGTAGCAGCTTACTTTACAACGGGGGGGAGGGGAGGGGAGAGGCGTCGTCGTCCTCGGAGGCATCGTTGTGGAGCTGAGACCACCGGCGGCGTCGGCGGCGGCGGGGGACAACTGGGACCTGGGGGGGCAATGTCTGCTGGCGCTGGATGGCGTTGGCGTTGGTGTTGACGCCGGGGCGCTTCTGTTCGTGTTGGTCCTCGTCCCGATGCAATGCGATGCCCGGGGTGGGGCCCCATCGAGAGAGCCATTCCGAAGCCCCCCATCCTACCATGCCTATGCCTCGATGGAGACGTCTACGTCGGCAGTGTACAGGATCGTGCTGTACGGATATTTTACATGGGATGGGAGGACTCCAACAGGCATGGCATGGCATGGCATGGCATGGATATGGACCTGCGCCAGTGTCTCTCGAGAGTTGCCATCGCCATCGCATTCATGCGCTCTCCTCAAAAAAAAGCCACCCGAGGGATTCCTTTTAGTGTTGCTACCCGTGTATGCTTTCCCCCCACTGCGGGTTTGATAAAAACTAAGGCAGAATGGAAACCTTGCGCCGGTAAGCGATGGGGTGATGTGATGCTGACTGAGAGGCTGCATGTACACACCAATTGATTTCCTACCTGCAGATAGGTACCTACCTGCCTGCGATACACTTAGCCGAGTACGTAGTACGGATACCTAGGTAGCCTCTGGCTGCCCGCCCAACCGGGACGTTTGATCTCGCTCCGTTTCTTTTTTTGCTCTTTTTTTTCTCTCTTTTTTTTTCTTTTTTCTTTCTCTCTCTCTTCATTTCTGTCTTCCCGTTTTTGTCGAAAGAGCTCTGCATTGCAGACCGGGGGTTTCCCAGTGTAGAACAAGCCTCAGCAGACCCCCTTCCCCCCCCCCACCAAAACGATTCTTTCCTTCCTTCTCGGCAGACAGAAGAATGTGTGCGTGGTCTGGCTTGCCTCGTGCGGTGCGCCACAAAGCCGGTTATGGGTCTCCCAAGACCTTGATACCCAGTATTCCCAGAAAACGCTGAACCCTGCAAGGCGATCGCAAAAAAAAAAAAAAAAAGACAACCTCGGGCGCCAGGCTAGGCACGGGCACGGAGGCGACAGATTGCCAGAAAAGAAAACACAGCTCTCGGCATTCAAGGCGACCCCGGGTAAGGCTGGGCAAGGTTGGTGGGGCGGACATGGCATGACAAGCCCAAAGACAGCGTTGTCTCTTATGGGCTCGGGTACGGCATGGGAGAAAGAAGGCTCTACCTAAGCTCCAGCACTTTGTAGATTCCACATCTTTGGGGCCTAAACAGACCTTCTGCACCGCAAAAACCCTTGCTCGATCCATCGTATCGCAAGGACATGGACATACGAGTGGTAGCAGTACACCGATTACAGAAGATCCTGGCTGATTCGGTCTAGCGGCGATGCAGAAAGCGAAGCGAAGCCAAATATAAAAAAACAAGGAATGGAGCGTGCTCTAAAAAAAGAGTTTTTTTTTTCCCCGATACCCCGAAAAAACAACAATGTTGGACTCGAGCATCCACCGGCAACCGAACTGCATGAGGCGAGCAAGCGAGAGCGACGGTGATGGCGACGGAGACGGCGGCGGCGGCGGCGAGAAAGTAGAAGCAGACGCAGACGCAGCAGAAGAGAGAGAGAGAGAGAGAGAGTCGGGTGGTCGCGGAAGACGAGGGGCTGTGCTGCGACTTGCATGTGTAGTATGCTCAATGACAGAATCCGAGAGGTGCCAGGCGAATAAGAAGCATGTCCTCCCCCACCAGAAGCCACTCCTCGGCGCGAGCAAGCCTCACAACCGGGAAACTAGTGCGTATAGCGACTACGTATCTCCGCGCTCTCGTGCAGAAACGGAGCCGTTGCTTCTTGTGGCTGTGGCTTGTGCACCCCCCACCCATGACCCGCGACGCCGTAGGTATTCCATCTTCTTTTGCTTCTGCTTCTTCTTCTTTTTTCCTTTCTTTTTTTTACTTTTCCTTCGCTTCTTCTGCCGAGAGCCTGATTAGGTATCTGCTCTATCTGTACGTACCGTGCCTTACTAGTGCCCGTGTGCCTCCATCATGCACTACCTAACTCACCTAGCACCTGGGTAGGGTACCTACGTGCAAGTCGTCCGTGGCACGTCAAGCGTGCCTGTCAATGTCAAAGCCCCCTCGGACACTCCATTAGTTGGGCTGCGTTGGCTTCTGTCCTTGCTTTCCATCCAAGCTTCACGCATTTCGGACCAAAGATCGTCATGGCCGTATTGTGTTGCCATGATGCGGGGGGCGCCTGGTGGCCTCCCGCCCAGCTGCTGGCAGTTCAGGCGGCCCTAAGCTCGACCACCAGTGGTCGTATAGGTAGCTAGCAGCTCAAGTAGGTACCTAGGTAGCTAGTCTTAGGAAGCAGTCCGAGCGGCCCAGAATTCCGGTCTTGGTAGCGACCCGATACGCCCTCCGCCCTATTGTCCAGACATGGCAACTAGGTCGTCCTCGTCGTCAGCAACGAGTCTACTACTTACTCTCTCTCTCTTTCTCCATATCAGGTTGTACGAATACGGTTACCGCGTCTTCCTCCCTGTTTCTCGAAAACAAGCCTCACCTCCGGACTGCCCACTGCCGGCCCTCTTTTTTTTTCTTTTCTTTTTCTTTTTTTCCCCCGATTCTCAATTAGTCTCGCTCACTTCATCGTCCCGTTATCGCAAGTAGCCGCCACCTGAGGGCCGAGTACCGTCTCTCCAAAAGAGATGCGCCTGTCCAAGTACCATTGATAACTCTCCGCCATATATGCATATCCCCCCCCCCCCCCCTTTCCGTAATGTGTTGCACTCCCCCAAGAAAGAGTCCACAGCCAATTGTCCTCTTCTGACAGCCTGCATGAGAAACTCGTCGTCATGAAATTCTGAGTTGTGATCTTGGTGCTCCGGGTGTCTCGCCGGCCAGAGACACGCCCGAGCAGAGACATTGCCGAGGGCTAGTGTCGTTTGCCCCGGCACGCATCCTTCCTTTCCATGCCTGTGTACTTCTGTACTCAGTGGGTAGCACCATGTATCTGCATATACCTAGGTAGGTAATTTACGAGGGGCCCAACCGTCCGAGACTCGCCTGCCGGCTGCTTGTTAGAAAAGAAAGAAAGAAAAAAAAAAAACCGACGCTTGTCACTGCTGTCAGAAATGTCTCTGTTCCAGACGAGGCTTACCCCCTGCTTGCCGATACCCGCCCCCCTCCTTTCACATGTATCTCGACGGAAAGCCACCCCTGTCCTCATCACCAACGGGGTCTGTCCCGGCACCCTACCTGCCAACTCCCTCCTCTGGGGAGCAGACTCAAGCAAGGTGGGGGGGACGACAAGACCAAGAGGCGACTTCGCGACGGCTTCCACCTCCACGCAAGGCCCCGGGCGCCTCATCTAACGCCATGGCATTGATCGTGTCCCCGGATGCTACCACTGCTATCCACCGGAGCTGTGGATGGTGCTTCTGTGGTCTTTCGAATCATCCTAGCCGTGATCTCCCAGCACGGCCTGCTTTCCCCGCCCTCTTTCTCGATACATCACTTTGTGAACATTGCCCGTCTCGCCCTTCACCTGCTTGCCTGGTGCTTGGCCATGCACCTTGCTCTTTTGCGCAGTGTCGGGTCTGCTCGACCAGCGTGTAACTGTCGCGAAGGGGGCGACCGTGATTGGAACACTATGTGATATCATGCTCTGCCGCGCACGCACACCCAGATCCTACGCAGGTCCGGGGCTTGTTGCGTCCGTCAGAAAATGGGCTTCTGTATCATGCAGACAGATGCATGGGGAGTCGGAGCCTCTCAGCTCGTCCGCCGCTAGGAAGCTATCCTGAACTTCCGTTGGATGGTTGCGCCTATGCAGCCCACCAGATTCGTCAACCTTCCTTCTGACCAGTCTGCCGCCATGGGGTCTTTTGTTGCTTGTCATATCAGGCACGATTTTCGGTTTTCTGGCCACTATCGACAGGCCCCTTGCGCCATCGCCGCGGCCAGGGTGGCCGTCACGATTTGGGGGAGGGAGGGGGGGGGGGTTCTACTCATGACTATTGAACCCGGTGAAGATGAGACTTTCTCGGAGATGACCAGCACCTCCTCTGGCAATCGTCATGTCGCCGACCCTCGCTGTTGGCCAGTCGTATGGTCCAGACGCCGCTTACCTCACGTCCTCGAATATTGGTAGCTGGGTGACTTGCATGAGCCTACAGGACACTTCTGCTCGTCGCCCTGCATCATGTCGGCTCTAGCAGGAGATCGTCTCTGAAACGATGCAGGCGCCGCCGCCGCCGCGGGTAGCCCCAATAGCTACATGTCATCGCGGCGCACGCTGGCTAGGCTTGGCTTCCCCGTATGCAGCTGGGGCCTCTTTCTTAGTATGCCATGTAAGCTCGTATATGATATGGACCGACTCGACTTTCTCGAGACTCAGGGCAGTGGCATGATTGGAGCGGCCCAAGAGACCGTTGGAGGAACCGCCAGAGGAACCATCACTAAACCTCACCCGACAGCAATCCCGGCCGGTCCCCGCTTGGAAGGGGAGGGGAGGGGAGGGAAAAGACCAGACGATGCGGGCCAGGCGTACCATACTGGCAGAGTCGTTATGCCAAAGTACCATTCCGCCAGGGACCGGCGTGGAGAGTCTTGTCTAGAAGCGTGGTACTTCTCTCCTCCCTCCCAAGCACTCGAATGTGCATCGAGCCGAAGGGGTGTTGACCCGTCAAAATGGAACGCGGGTCTACTGTACCTGTAGATGTCTTGGTCGGTCGAGGGTGTAGATGTCGAGCAATGACAGCCTGTAGACGGCTCCCTGCAGGGTTGCCGCCCTTGCTAGCGGCGGAAGGTGAGCTGAGGTGTGTCTGCGGAAAAGTCGTCTTCTGCTGCTCCATTGGTCGCTTAGCTGACGGGCCATATTCGGACGATGTGGGCCATCGATTGTGATTGGCAAAAATGCTGAAATTCATTCATCATATTTGACCAATCGTGAATCGCACATTCCTTGAGCCCACAACGAGGAGAGACAGTTATTTAGGGTCAAATATCTACTATACACTATACGCTCCTGGGGCGGCACTCGCGCCCCTGGAGCTTGCAGCGATGGTCGCTATAGTAGCCGCGCAATAATGCTCCTGTTAATGGCGCAACATCTTCGCGCCTGGGCCCGGGAGGAGAACAACGAGCAAGGTCATGGGGGCGCCAGGAGAGAGTTGCATGCCATGGATTTCCAGAATGGGAATGGGCCTGTCCCGTTCGCGGATGCCCGGCTGCAGAAGCAAACCGTTCTCGAACCTCATCAGAAGCAGATTGTCGTCTGTCGCCAACGACTCTGGCGCCCAACCGCGTTGCGAACGTGCTGCCCCGTCTGACCTTGACTCAAACAAAGGGGACGACGCCCAGAAACAGGCCTGGGAAACAAACAAGGGCCACCGCATTGTCGGCTGCTATATAAGGCATTCTATTGCGAGGTATTGGTCTTGTGGCGAAATTGACGACTCCTTTGCCGACAAGGTTGACGAATGTATCCTATGCGAGGCAAGGCAAGCCTGTGCGTGAAATTCACAGGGACACCTCAGAAGGAGGTGATGCTCGCCTGGGAGGGCGGCAGTTGTTAGTTCACAGACGCGCCAGAAGGTGAAGTCTTGACAGTCTGCTGACGGCCTGCCAATTTTTGGCCCCCACAACCTTTCGTCCGTCGTTGACGTAGATGGATCCGCCCTTTGCCGCATCTGCAGGAGTCGGACGACCAGCATGGCAGCAGCCAGTGCGCGCAGGTCTGCCAAAAACTCGTGACCTGCGTGTACCGTCAGTTGACTCGGTCACATGAGTTTACCCGCCAACATGCGTGATGCTGGTCGCCGCCCGCAGCCTTCGGACTTTGACAGGCCTGCCATCTCGTCCTTCACAAAGGGCAGAGGTGCAACCAGCGAAGCCTCACGAGCCGTGTGAGCTCCGGTGTCGCCGCATTGCAAGGCTGATCCCTGCCCCCAGTGGCTAGGCCCGCAGCCCTTGCTTTGCCGCCCGGCTGCACGAAAGGAGTTCCACTTCGTCCTTGTCTACCTACTTGGGGTAACGGCCGTCGACTCGGAAAAAAAGAAAAAAAGAAAACCGGCAAAAAAAAAAAAAAAAAATGAGGAGTAACAATACAACTCGACAACGCGAAACCAAGCTTCTGCAAGATGGCTTCTTTGCTCCGTCATTCATTTCCAATCTCTGTGCACGGAACTCCGGAGGCGGGAGGACGTCTTCCGCGCTCCGCATCGTTGAGCCCCAAGAGAATTGCCCATCGCGGGATGATATGTGCGAAGCCGAGGCCTGTTTAGACTCCTTGAACAGCATCTAAATTAGCATAACAAGGTTTGAACCGAGCAGGGAGTACGCTTGGTTGTTTCGGGCGAGCTTGCATCAGGAGGACATACCGTATCCACTCGTTAGATTCGTACACTGCACTGACCACCCACTAGGCCTAATTCAAAAGGCGGTCAGCCAGCCTAGCCACACACCCACCCATCTAACCCTAACCCTTGCCACCAAACTTGCTGCTGACGTTGACTAACCCCTACATTTGCCACTTCTAGATCCCTGTTTCTGCCAGCCCGCTAGGCCCTATCCAGCAGCCCATGGTCAGTGCAGTGTACGAATCTAACGAGTGGATACGGTACACGCGTGCCTGATATCGGAGCTGGGTCGTACCTGATAGTCGCCACCGACTATTCATCGAATCCCTTGGAAGCGGCAGTGACTACTAAACGATGCCACGTCGCGCGCTGGGATACCCAGCATGCCCACGAGAGAGTGGCAAGATCTTGCGCGGCAGAAGAGCTGCGATGTATCTCTCTCTCTCCGGTGGGTGCAGCGACACCCATCGATGATCGTAAGATTTCCCCAGATCTCGAAACTCCGAAAGATGCTCAAAAAAAGAACAGGGACTGCCGTGCCGGCTTGGGGAGCAACGGTGCGACGAGAACCCCGCTGTTTGAAGATCTGCGTGTGGCGCAGGCACCGGGAGGCTGGTGAGGGAGGGTGGTGGGAACCTGCCGTTTCTTCCTAATGCTGTAGACGCCTCTGCAACTGCCACTGCGCTTCGAGGATTGCGAGGAATTGGAGTTCCCGAGGGGGGATGCATCTTAGCAGATGCACAGCTCAGGGGACCTACGTTAGTGGTACGCCAAATACGGGGGCGCCGTGGTTGGGCACAAGTTGCACCCTTGAGCAGCTGAAATGTGCTGCTACCGATGCAGAAGACCCGCTTCAAGCCGATTGCTTGTTAGTGGTCGCCGGATCTCGGTTCTGCATGAGCGATAGGCCCCTACTAGAGGGGCCGAGGGGCTGTGCTGCCCGCAGAAAAACCACGACGTTGACTCGTTGATTGTCGGCACTTTGGCATTGACCAGACCCTCCCTCCTTAGTCGTTGCATAGATAGGCCACGGAATAATGTCGCCCACTGAGAGTTGTCGACAGTGACGCGGCTCCGAGTGGGTGCAGAGACGGCCGCAGGACAACCCATATCAATCCTGGTCGGCACGGTGTGTCATCAGAGTTGTTTCCCCCCCAGGTGTCAACGATGGGGTTTGTTTCACCATAGAAAGCCCATCTAGGTGGGAGTGTTGCGGCTGCATCTGAGTTGGGGATTCGGGATAGACTGTCGTGGAAGTGTGTCGTGAGGTAACGACGACGTCCCGGCCAGTCGTTATGGCCCCGTGTTTCGAACACGGAGACTCGAGTAGGTCTGATGGGGCAAACGCAGACGATGGCGCGGGTACACTTTGCGCGACAAAACATCATGACGCCTAGATGGGGTTGACAAGCTTTTCAAGTGACACTATCATTGTCATGTATTTGGCAACAGCTGCTGATACGTCCCGTCCATCCTTGCATGACTCGATATCGATGGCCGCTGACTGTTTGTTGTGCTCCAGATGCCTTGGTTTGTTGCAGATATCATGGGCTTTGTGTGGTGGTATCGCTGCCGAGTTCAGCAAAGCTCCTTCGGCCCATGTGAGAAGTATCACATTGAGACTTGAGCCAGCGAAGATTGTGTCCCAAACTTGTTTCGAAGGACGGAGGCCACAAGTTGTGCAGTTGAACAGGGAATGTCGGAAAGTTTGTGGGTTGAAGGCCTGTGGTTGATGTTTGGGCTGTCGGTGCTATCAATGGCATGGAATGGCACTGGGGGAGAGAGGGGGAGAGAGAGAGAGAGAGCTTTGGCCACTTCTTCTCGCTAAGCTTCCTGAGCCGAGCAAAGATCCCAGGGTCTAGCTGCGGGGTGCTCTCGGCCGAGTTTAGCGGAGCGGCCAGTGAAGAACGGGGCGTGGAACGCCAAGCGAGGCCGTCCCATTGGTGCTCCCCTCTCTGTGGTTCAGCCTGCTCTCCTGGGCGAGGCTCGACAGTGCCAGCTCCTTTCTCAAAAGTTATGACCTCCCAAATGCGGCGTTCACCGACGTCATCACAACTTCAACCAGCCATCTACGTCCTGTCGCTTCCTTCGAAATACCCCATCGACGCTGCGCTTCCGAGCATGCATATTACGTACCATAAACACCGATGATACCCCTATAGACAGCGACCCGAACGACCCAAAGTCGCCTTGTCTTCTATACGATGACCGAGCCCGCTACGGCGGCTGCCCCCGGCGCTGCAACGACCCCGGCGCAGAAACAAACCAGCCCTGCGATTCCCGTTGGCTTGAACGAGGCGTCTCTTGACTCGCCAACCTTTCGAGCTACCGCCCAACATTTCGGAGAGCACATTGACAATGTCGAGAAATGGCTCGACGACTACGTCCGTTCGACTTCTCGAGTCACCCGTGACATCTTGGCGCTCGAGGAGAGCGTCAATGCCTACCTATCCAAGATCTTCCCGCCCGCCGCGATTGCCGATTCCATCATCGACCACGACTACACCCTGCTTGCCTTGCGTCGCATCAGCGATGGATCCAAGGAATGGTGGACGCAGATCATGTCCACCGTGCGCAAGATGGATACCATCTCCGTCGAGCCCATCCGGTCTTTCGTCGCCGCCGACTTGCGTTCTTTCAAGGAGGTTAGGAGAGTTTTGGAGCACACGCAGAGGAATTTCGACCAGGCCATGGCTCGGTATATGAGTCAGTCCAAGACCAAGGAGCCATCCGCCATCCGAGAAGAAGCCTTCGCCGTGTACGAGACACGCAAGGCATACCTCAAGGTCTCCATGGACTTTTGTCAGCTCGTGCCCCAGATCCGCTTCAGCCTGGACAAGCTTCTCGTTCGTGTCAGCTCCGACTTTTGGAAAGAGATGAAGCGCTCGCGTGATGCCACCGCCGCCTCCATCAAGTGGGGTTCGGAGATGGACCGCATCCGTGGCTGGTGTCGGGAGATGGAAACGACAGAGTTCGTCTTCAAGAGGGAGCTGCAGATCGCCCGCCGCGACATTGGAGAAAGCACGCTGCAGGATTTCAAGCCGTCTCGAGAACTCGAGGACTACAGTGCTTCGACCGTCCCCTTCCTCGGTTCCCGAGGCCCGGTTAGTGTTCAGCCGCAGGAAAACTCGGCTGTCGTATCGGAGAAACAAGGTTGGCTCTTCCTCAAGACACTCTATGGAAAGCCTGCCAGGTCCAACTGGGTCCGCCGCTGGTATTACTGTAGAGATGGCATCTTCGGCTGGCTGATTAACAGCCCCCAGGGTGTGCTGCAAGGCGACGAGGTTGGCGTTCTTCTGTGCAACGCCAAGCCAGCTGTTGCAGAAGATCGTAGGTTTTGCTTCGAGGTCAAGACGAAGAGCCAGACCCTTGTGCTTCAGGCAGAGACCCAGACCCAGCTTACCGAGTGGCTCGAGGTCTTCGAAGTCGCCAAGAAGAGAGCGTTTGAGGCCAGTATGGACAGGGACAGCACTTCTTCGCCTGCCGGGGCCGACCCGGCTTTCTCCATCACGCCGCCTGCCCTTCCGGAGTTCTCGGCGAGATCCTTGGACGCGGTGGTCGCGGGCGAGGAACCTGCAGCAACCTTTGACAGGGCCGGCACCCTCCCGGTCCCTTCATCAGACGGCAACAATGGCGGTCGCGCTAGTTTTGACGTGAACGGCGTGCCTCGCCGTTCCATCACCGCCTTGGGGAGGGATCTAGGTCGCGAGATGGTTCGCGAAGAAGGGGAAAGCAATCGCGACCACGCGGCGAGAATCATCCAGAAGCTAGATCTGCACCGAAAAGCGACCTTTGGAGCCGGTGCCGAAGCCGCGGTCGCCGCTGCCGCCACGCCGGGCAGCGGCGGTATCGCGAGTTTATTGGCAAGCCACGGCCACCTCCCCGGATACCCTTCTCCCCCCCGGGCGGGTCAAAGAACTCATCGGCCTCGAGATTACCTGCTTTGAACCCAGTTCAGGGGACTCTGGCCCCTCTGACGCTGGCAAAACCGCCTGCAGCAACTAACCTAAGCAGAATGGCTGTCATGTTCTCTGTGGACAGGAGTGTGGGAGGGGACAACACCAGCCACATGCCCACCGCCGTCCTCGCCAACTACTGGGGAAGCAGTGCTTGGAGCGTCGTGTACGGGTCGGGCCCGGGCCGTCCTCGAACTCCTGGGCTGCTCGAGGAGAACCCCTTCGGAATAGTTGTCCGTGAAGTGGGCAAACCCGGGGAAGAGAAGCCTCTGACCACCTCAGCCGGACACAGGAAAACGGTCAGTGTCGATGCGAAGATTAACCAACCCCCTGTACCATTCAAACAGCCGGCCGAGACGTTCCCCCCAGGCTACCCGCCCGAGCTGAGGATCCAGCACCACCAGTTCCGCATTCTCTTCCCCACTGTTCCCCTCGACGAGAAGCTCGTCCTCGTCTTCCGGGCTGCTTGGTCAAGTTCGGCAGGTAAAGACTCGCCATCGCATGGGCAGGGACTTGCGGGCAACGGCCGCATTTACATCACCCCCGACAACATGTACTTTTACGGACAACAGATGGGTCTGGTCGTTGCCTATGCCATCAGCCTCGACATTATCGCCGAGGTCACGGCAGCACCTGGAAAGGAATGCGACTTCATCTTCCTTCACCTCGGAAACGATGGCAACGACACAGGATACACGAGAATCACTATCAAGATATTCCTGGACAATCTCAAATTACTGCACGCAAGGTTGAACTTGCTCATCGACGATCTCCAGTCGGAGGAGCCGCTGGAACTGTCAGAGCTCATCCAGGCTTTGATCAACCTGGAGTATGAAGACCACAACAAGCGCAGTCCGAGTGTCGAAAGCTGGGAAGAAATCTCTTCAAATACACCGTTCGATGACGGCACTCACTCGGGCCGCCCTGCCAGGCGCCAGAGCCAGTTCGGACCCAGGCTTCGCCCATCAGGCCCCGGTTCTCGACAGACGCCCAAAGTCCAGTTGCCCGCGCACCCCGTCATCTATGAGCCTGAAGACATGCAGAGAATGGTGGCGGAGCGGCATTTTGAGATCAGTGCCAAGGCTTGCTTCCACGTGCTTTTTGGAGACAAGAGCTTCGTTTTCCCCAAGCTCTACTTTGAACGGAGGGCGCAGCAAATCGCCCAAGGCCCATGGGAACTCGCAGACCACGGCCGCATGAAGCGGGAATTCCAATTCAAGTTCGACTATAACGACATGCTCGGCCGTCACAAGACGGTGGACGTTGTCGACTCCCAGACGATGGACATTTTCCAGGAGCATGTCACGTACGTCGTCACGCACACCAAGACAGCGTGGCACCTCCCGCATTCGCAGGACTTCAAGCTGGTGACCAAAGTTGTCATCACACACGTGGCCAAGTCCAAGTGCAAGCTGGCGATTCACACAAAGATCGAATGGTCCAAGGTGCCGACGTTTTCCAAGAACCTGGTGGAGCGGCAGGCCTTGAACGACGCAGAGGGCGACGCCGAGGAGCTAGCGGACGTAGTAACGGACCAGGTGCGCAAGCTAGGCCCGCATAGCCGGACGAAGCGGGCGATTCAGGTGTACGGAAACATTGGGCAGCAGACCCAGGTAGTTGTGTTCTCGCCGGCGGACGCGGCCGCGTCGAAGAAGCAGCTCATCAAACCGCGCACGCTGACGACGATGCTCTTGGAGACGCTCCGGTCCTTTGGCGAAAGTGCGGTAACGTCGGTCATTATGTGGGCCATCGCAGGCGTCAAGACGATCTTCAGCGTGGTCACGGCTCACAGACTCATCCTCCTCGTGCTTGCCGTGAGCGCGTTTACGAACATCGCGCTGACCTCCCAGGGGAGTTCGACATGGTGGACGGAGAGAAAGGCGGCCAAGTTCATGAGCCGCGTTGGCGTTGGGCCGAACGTGATGATGAGCAAGGCCATCTACATGGCAGACCTGAACGAGGCAACAGGGGCGGTGGGCCACAACAGTAGCTGGCCTACAGATAGCGCATGGTTAGTCAAGCCCGAGAAGGCCGGAGGGGAGGTGGGATACACGCTAACGCATCACAGCTTCACCACCTTCCAACTTGTTGCCAATGCAACCGATCTCGATGCTCCGTACGAAGACGCAGGGTCGACGTTGGCATCGGCCACGGGGCGCGCAACCGCTCGGCGGCTGCGCCAGACACGGCAGCGGCTTGGGTCGTACCGGCACGACCTGATCGTGGCGATGCGCATCGTCAACAGCATCGAACGGGAGATGATGCAGTCCGAGTGGGAGAACTGGCTCGCGGACGAGAACATGCGTTGTGATAAGCTCAAGATGGTGTTGGAGGAAGGAGGGGCAGGTGCTAAGACCAAGCGGAGCGGCAGCCAAAAAGTCATGACGGCGGCCATAGACGAAGGCAAGAAGGAGACGTTGCGTGAGTGGTACGACACATACTGCGGCAGCTGCAAGCTGGATCACCAGGCGCTGATGAGCGAACGAAACTCGTTGGCGAGCCTGTAGCGAGAGGGAAAGAGGAGTTGGCTGGGGTACACATTCTTTTTTTTTTGGAAACGGTGGAAGTTTTCGTCAACGCACACATACACAGTCTAATGTTCGTCTCCGTACTGGAGAATAATTATCTGTTTCGTCATTTTACGCTACCCGCGCGGTTTCTAGTCGCAAGCCTTGGCTTAGTGTCTATTGCTAAATGTCGGCGGTCGTCCCACAAGACCATGAATGACCCAGACTGTTGAAAGCATTTCTGGAACATCATGACGATGTGGTGGGATTGTCGGCCTGGCACACGGACAGAAAAAAGAGGGGAAGAGGGGGGAGAAAAAGCTCTCCACAGGTTTCGTCGACGATGCATTTCAGCCGTGCACCCCTTCCCTCGGGTCAATTCGACCTCATGGGGAAGAAAGAGGGAGAGGGACGAAGATCTCACGTGCCTCAACCCAGGCCCAAGAATTGCGAGATGCAAGCAGTGTAGAATAGACTAACCAGATCTAGCCCAAATATGAGTATGGATCGACTCAAACGACTACGTAAGTCAAGAATGCAAAAGAACGCCTGCCCGCCCCTCGTGTGCCAGACCCCGAACGGCGGAGAGAGTGCAAGGTACACATGGATAAAAGGGGACGACGTAGTGACATAACCGTGAAGGGGTTGCAGCCGGATGGGGAAGCCTTGGACGACGTAGTCACGACACCCAGTGTGAGGGACTTCGCCTAGAACGAGGCCTTTCGTTTGGTGAGGGATAAGAGCAAGCGGCGCACAAGAAGGGGTTGACTTCATCGCTGGAGAAGGTCTCCAATGAGAGTGACCCCAGGGGTTCTAGCCCATGTAGAATGCGCGGGTTCCCTTGTAGAATACGCGGATTCTAGACGATCTGTAACGCCGTAGGTTCCCGGCCATTGGTCCACCGGGGAGGAATGGATCCCACGACCGCCAATTGTGACCTCGGGACGAACCAGGGCAGCACAGCCTTCCCCCTCTCTGAGGGCCAACGTCGTATACACTATGTACATTGTACATGGACATGGGAGATGACGTCAGCGTTCAGACTTGGACTCAAAGTCCAGGAGCCCGAGAGGGAAAGCGGAGGAGGCAGACCACATTGTACATTTACATGCACACCACCTAGAATCAGGAAAGGGAAAAAAAAAAAAAAAAAAAAAAAAAAAAAAAGGGAACTTACCTGCCTTACCTGCTGATGAGCCTGGCCGTATCAGAGACCTTGGGCAATGATGCCATTCACGAGCAAACGGACCCAAGTCTTGAATCTTTGCAGCGGGTCGGTCGTAAGAGACTCGCTCGATTGCGAGTAGCATGATGGGACGTGATGGAACATGGGGGGATGAGCAATAGGTCCGTCCGGGGCCGACAGCAATTAAGCGCATCCCGATCTAGGTACCTTAGGTATCCGTACATACAAATACTGGCGTGGACAGCACGGATAATTACCCACATCGTGTGATATGTAGCTATGATGGTACCAGGCCGAAGTTAATTACCCCTGTTAGGTAACTAATGTCCACCCCCTACTACGGGACTTCACTTTTGGTGAATATTCCCCCTCTATTCTGGTGTCAACTATGGGGGGTAACATCATAGGGGTAATTCACTTACCCCTGCCACCCTGTACGTCCCATGTACGATGTACACGTACCTACGCAACTCGGACAAGCAGGCAGTCGAGCCAAACATCGGCCTCCATTCATCCGTCTGTACCTTGATTGCCGGCCAGCTCGTTTGCGTCCCTGAGACCCGGAAAAGCCGTGATCCCACACCTACCCACTGTGCCATTGACGTCTCTATTACTTCGGTATGTACATATATACATATACGCAGGCACGCTTCCTTAGTATTAAGCAACACGTGCGGCATGTATTACAGACGGCTCTAGGCCCATCCTTGAAGCTTTATTTCCTCTCCGTTTTTGCACAGTAATCGACCACCCCTCCCGACATTCAACCCCATCATCCGTCATCAACCCTGCTCCCCCACGAACACGAACTCGACCGCTCATCCCCTTTTTCCGTCACTGAGCTCACATCTGGTCCCTGACGAATATTCCCTCTTGCAATACTTGAAATCTTGAAACCACCCGTCTGAGTCGCACTCGCTGTACAATATTAGTCCTACTCGGTTTCATTGAGCGGCCTGGGCCATGACATCTTCTTAAACACCCTACGCCCCGATCTCACCCTCACCCTCCCCTCCCCCCTTCCAACGCCACTCGCAACCCTCACAGACGCAATGGCGCCACATCACGAACCCTTCAAAGGCGTCGCACCCGTCAAATGGGACGCCGTCGCCCAGGAGGAGCCTCAAGAGTTCATGAAGGGCGTCTTCGCCGACGCTCAAACGATTGTCGACTCCATCCCCGTCCCCGCCCCCGTCAAACAGGCCGTCGCCTCCCACGGCCGCGCCCGCTCGCAGACCGACCCCCCGCTACCCGTTGCCGACATCAACCGCTTCCTCTCTCAGCGCCAGACGGGCGCTTCTCTGCGCCTGTCGCAGGACCTGTCCAAGGAGTGGAAGGAGGTCAAGGTCAACGCGAGAGACAACCCGCTCGCCATCAACGTCTATAAGCTTGCCTCCAAGGACGGCAAGGGCAGCTGGTTCGCCCGGCGCAGCGTCCACGATGGCCTGACTTTTGAGAAGTGGAAGCTGGGCCTCGAGAGGGAGTTTGCCGAGTCCATGAAAGTGCAAAGCGGCCCCGGCGCTGGTGCCATCCGCGGCATCGGCGCAGAGAAGTGCGTCGTGCACCAGGTGGTTGAAGGATATGGAAAGATGGAAGGTGAGCCTTGCCTGAAGCTCCTTCTCACCCACGCTCCCCGTTCACTGACAGCTTCCCACGCAGTCTTCCAATTGTCGGCGCAATTCCCGGGCCCGACGGCTCCGAGAGACTTTGTTACCCTGCTACTGACTTCCGAGTTTTCCGGTAGCGCCCCGCAGGAGGGTGGCAAGCGTCCGCTACGGACATTCATGATCGTCTCGAAACCGTGCATACATCCCGAGTGTGCCGAAAGGCAGGGCTACATTCGAGGCCAATACGAATCGGTCGAGGTTATCCGCGAAATCCCGTCCGACAAGCCCGCCGCCATCTCTCGCGCACGATCTTCAATTGATCTTAGCCAGGATGGTGCAATGGAACGACAGGCGGTTGCCGAGTCGATAGGCAAGGAAGCTGTGCTCCGGGCAGCCAAGAAGGCGGCGGATGGCGAAGGACGCCACCGAGGCGTCTCTGTCGACAGTGCCCCGACCAGAGATGATGCTAGACATGCCGGCCAAAGCACCGGGGAGGATGTCGGATCGAGAGCTGTCGAATGGCTCATGGTCACCCGCAGCGACCCTGGCGGCAACGTGCCTCGTTTCCTCATCGATCGGGGTACACCAGGCGGCATCATAGGAGACGCCGGCAAATTCATCAACTGGCTAACCGCCAAGTCTGCCGAAGACTTCACCGCCTCTGATTCTGAACAGGAGGAGATGAAGCAAGGTGCTAAGCAGGCCGAGGAAACCATGGATGCCTCACCCGCGGAGACAGCCAAACGCCCGACATCAAACCTTGTGCCCGAGCCCTCGGCACAGGTACAGGACGAGAGCGTTCCTAGCAGCAACGGCCTCTACGGCATCATTTCCGGGGCGTTTGGCATGGCCAGCTCTGTGGTGGCAAGCCGCATCCCGGACGGCTACGCTCTGCCAGGCATATTCCAGGCGCCAAGCACCAACGGCTCAATGGTGGAAGAGGATGACGCGGATGTGGACAGCAAAGAAAGCGACACGTCGTCCATTCGAAGCTTCGCCTCTGCCGTTGAGAAGACGGACGAGGGCGAGGCCGTCACGCCTCCCGAGGCCACGCAACCCGACACGCTATCGCTGCACTCGTCGGGCTCCGGCGCCGGGTCCCTCCAGGGGTCCAAGCCGCCTTCGAATCACGAGAGGGAGCTCAGGAAGCTCCAGGAGCGCCGCCAGAAGATGCAAGACAAGATCAACAAGATGCAGGACCGCATGACCAGCAAGCGGGACCAGGACACGCAGAAGGAGGCGGCGAGCCTGGCCAAGCTGCGCGAGAAGCACGACAAGGAGATGGCCAAGCAGGAGGAGAAGTACAAGCGCGACCTGCAGCGCCTGCAGCAGCGCCGCGAGCATGAGCAGCGCAAGGCCGAGGAGAAGCGCCGGAAGCAAGCGGAGAAGGAGGAGAAGAACAACCTCGCCTTGGAGCTGGAGCACGTCAAGACGGAGCGGGACGTCGCGCTCAAGGAGATCGACATACTCAAGGAGCAGATCGGCCAGCTGCAGACCCAGAACACCATGCTGGTCGTCAAGATGGGCAGGATGGGCGGGCTCAAGAGGCAGGACTCGTCGCTAAGCGTGTCCGGCGAGAAGCAGGTCGCCCAGAGCGTCTCCAACTAGGCCAAGCGCTGGGGGAGTGACTGTGAGATACGGGAGCCAGGTCCACGTGAGGGGGGGCGAGTGGGCTGCAAGATAGGATACCCAGTGCGTCGCATGCAAAATTGGAGGAGAGAGGAGTAACAAGAGGAATTTGAGATGGAAAATAAGCATCAAACGGCGTCGGAGCGTGCCAGCCTTTCTCTACAAGTTCTTTTTTTTTAAACGTATTTTTCATACTTGTCATTTCTTTCTATTCTTGTTGTCGTTCATCTCACAGAATTGTATACGAAGCATGTCTGAGCCAAACAAACTTTTGAACCCTTTTTTTTTCCCCGTCTTTTCCTCTAACCCGACCAGTAAAAAGAATGAAGACCGTGTTTGCACCTCTTTATCCATGTGCGTCCACCTAACCGTGAATGTGAATGGGCGCCCCCCGCCTAGACGGCCGCCAAGTCGAGCAGTAGCCCGTGCAGACGGCCGCGCCGACCCGCGCGCCGGAACCGCTCCAGCTTGCTCTGCAGCAGCTCTGCGTCGGCGGCGCCCGTCCGTGTCAGCGCGGCGGCGCAGACGAGGACGCGGGCGCAGACAGCGTAGACCTGGGGGTCTGAGGCCCAGCCGAGGGGCCCGTCGACGGCATCGTCGGGGGAGACGAGGCCCAGGAGGGCGTCGAGGCCGGAGGACGTCCACTGCGTCAGGGCCGTGGTGGTGGCGGTGGCGGAAGAAGACGACGCAGGAGTGGAAGAGGAGGAGGAGGAGGATGAGGAGGAGGATGAGGGAGAGAAGACGTCCTCGAGGACGGCGGCCCAGCGGGTCGACTCGCGGACCTCGTCGATGAAGAGGTTCTGCTCCTCGACCACGAAGAGGGAGTCGTCGAAGCGGAGGGCGGTCGCGAGCTGCGCCTCCGCGGGCTCCCACGCGTCGTCGCCGCTGTGGCCCGCGAGGCGGGAGGCCAGGAGGGCGTGGAAGGCGGGGGCGTCGCGGTAGTCGCGGGCGATGCGGGCGAGCAGGAGCGGGGCGGCGTCGAGGGCGGCGAGGGGCCGGGCGAGGACGCGGCCCGCGGAGACGGAGGCCAGGTCGCGGACCTCGTCGTCGTCGTCGTTGAGGGCGTCGTAGAGGGCGACCAGGGCGGGGAGGCGGGCGGCGTCGTCGGGGTCGTCGGCGGCGGCGGCTGAGGAGGCGAAGAAGGAGGCGAGAGACGCCGTCGCGGCGATGCGGGTGTCGAAGGGGCGGGAGTCGAGGAGGGCCGAGGACATCATCCGGCCCCAGCCGCGAAGGGCGCGCGCGGGCGCCGCATTGTCCGCGGACGGCGAGGCCGCGAGGGCCGCCATGATTGGGCCGCTGGCGCGGACGACGGCGTTGGAGAGGTTGGGGTTCATCGTCTTGGAGACGAGGTCCTGCCAGAGCCCGGCGAGCTTCTCCGCGGGCGGGAGGCCGGCGGGGGGTTGCTTGGCGGCGGGGCCCGCGGAGGCGAGGACGAGGTCGAGGACCTCGGCGAGGTTGTTGAGGGCCGCTGCGCGCGGGTCCGGGTGCGCTGTCGAGAGGGCCAGGTCGGTGTACAGCGCGGCGTAGGACGCCGCTGCCTCGGGGGCAAGGCGCGGGTGGTGGACCGCGGCAAGGGTCTCGAGCGTCGTGATCGTGGCCTCGACGCTGGCGGCGTTCGTCGACAGGAGGATCTCGCGGAGGGACGCGGAGGCGGCGGAGGCGGCGGAGGCGGCGGGCTGCGTCGCGTGGACGGCGGCGACGGCGAGCTGGGTACGGAGGAGGGCGCTCTGCGGGGGCCGCGAGATGGACTCGGGGGCGGTGGAGAGGTGCGCGGCGGGCTCGGGCATCGGGTGGGAGAGGGCGAAGAGGGAGACGAGGTTCTCGACCTCGAGGTGGGCGGCGCGGATGTCGGGGCAATGCTCAAAGGCCCCCGGGTCGCCGGCCTCGATCTTGGAGAGGATCCGGGTCAGGCGCGGGACGGCGGACGACAGCTTCTGCGGGGCGACGTCCGAGAGCCGCTCGAAGACGGCCTTTACGGTCAGCAGCGCGCCGTGGATGTGGTTGTTCCTGCTCGCGGGCGCGGCGGCCAGCGCGTCGTCGACGATGGCGGCTGCGGCGGCGACCCAGTCGTCGTCCTTGAGCAGGAACGAGCAAAGCGCGCGGGCAGCCATCTCGCGGACGTGCCAGACGGGGCTGGCGAGGTAGCCGGCGACGAGGCCGTAGAGCTCATCACGCGAGGCGTCGGGCGGGCCGGCGCGACGGAGAATGTCGAGGGCCGGGAAGACGGACTCGGCGGCAATGGTGCTGCCGAGGGTGGTGGGCTTCATGACCTCGCGGCCGGACCGGAGGAGGTTCAGGAGGACGCCGGGCAGGACGGGGTACTTGTGGTACTGCAGGCGTGTCGTCTTGCCGTCCCACCCGGCCTCGAGGGTGGCCTTGCTCTCGTTGGTGCCGAAGAGGTTGTCGAGGAGGGAGCGGAGGAAGAGGAGGCCGCAGTTGCGGATGCCCCAGCTGGGATGGGTGTCAGCGGGGGGGGGGGTGTATTTGTGGGGAAAGGGGGCGCGGAGGTTGACTTACACTTCCGACTTGAGACTGCTGGCCGCGAGCTCGAGGCACCGCGGGATGTGAGGCGCGGACTTGCCGAGCTGGGTGATGAAGGAGCTCTTGAACATGTCCTTGAGGCAGTTGAGGGCGTGGACCTGGGGCAGCTTGGACCCGTCCGACTCGGAATTGTAGGCAGGCTTCTGCGCGATCGTCACGAGTTCCTCGATGACCTTGTCGAACGACGGCTGGGGCGCGTTGGCGGAGACGATGCCCGTGATCATGGCCGGGATGCCGGCGGAGCGTCGCGTGGTGGACGCCTGGGCGAAGATGCACTCCTTGGTTCCCTGCAGCGGGGGTCAGCATCGGGGCAGCGCTTTTCCTCGGACAGGGGGCGCGTACCTTGTACCAGATGTCGAGGAGAGTTTCGTCACCGCCGTGACCGGCCTTCGGGTCTTCTAGGTGCTTGACCAGCTGGCAGCAGGTCGCGAACGAGAGGGAAACGGTGTTGAAGGCACCGCGGTGCCGCAGGCTGGAAAGCTGGTCAAAGGTCAACGAACCGACGGCCGTGAAGAGTTCCGTCGAGGGACGCAGGGTCCCCTCCTTGGCCTTGGTCTTGAGCGACAGGACCATGACGCGCATCAAGGCACTGCGATTTGTCAGTCTTACCGCTTACTGTCGGTGAGGGGGACGATTCTTACCTAGACTCGTGGATGGCGCGGAAGCTGTAGCTCAGCAAATCCTTGGTATCGAGACCTTCGAGGTCCTCGAGCTCCTGCGGCAGGTGACCTTCGGGTGAGTCGTCACAAAGGATGTCCCTGACTGCGGCCCAAATCCGTCGGCAACACATGACGATGCGGCCTTGGAGTGATGTCATCAATTCGAGCTCGGACTGAGTGAAGTTCATATCGGCAGTGGCTTGCCAAATGTAGCTGGTACGGTCAGTCGCTGTACCCAAGAGGCATATGGCTCTGTTTGGACTCACCGAAGAGACGCGAAGTAGCCGTGGACGGGAGCCTCCAGGACGGCGTTGCCCAAATCGGCCTCGGCGAGCGTAAGCTTGCTCTCGAGAAGGTCCACCAACTTGGAAATGTGCGCAATCTGCGCGTTCCTGCCGTCGTAGAACCTGAAAAGCAGCTCGTTCGTCCGGGCAACGCCGTCGGCGTGGTCGGCGCGGGCAGTCCTCCTTGCGATGTCCTCGGCTCTCGACAAGAACTCCTCAAGGGTGTGCGACACACCCTGCGTGCCAACGAGGCACTTGAAGCGCTCATCGGCGAACAGGCTCTTCAGGACGCTCGTGCCGTTTTCTCGGACGTCGTCAAAGGGGTCCATGATTAGGTCCAGAAGCGTGCGCGTCCATCTGTCGTCAAAAAGGTTGAAGAAAAGAACGTCGTCGTCCTCTGTCTCCCAGGTCTTGGCGAGGTCGGCCTCGAGCTTGAGGATGAAGGCAACTGCCCGCAGAGACGTGAAGTGGCGCTGGAACGACGCGGTGGGGATCAACTCGGATCGCAGGAAGCCAACGTACCATGCCAGGAACTCTTCGTGCTGCTTCAGGCTCTCCCGTAGCTTGTCCTCGGGCCAGAACAGAATATTGGTCCGGTGGTTTGCCTGCTTCGGTGCCTTGGGCGCGGGTTTCGGCGCGCCATTTGCTGCGGCGGCCGCACCGTCGAAGGCCTTGAGGCGGGCCAAGCTCTTGGTGAGGATGAAGATGGCGCCTCTGTTCCGCTTGAACATGTCCTTCAGCTTGCTCAGCACCTCCATGCGGAACTTGGCGTCCGATTCTGAGAAATACGTTGGTAGGTGGGCCTGCAAAAGACGAAGAGCAACCGGGGAATACGGCCTTGTCGTGGAGGGAGAGGCGACAATGAGCGACAGCGCTAGCGAGCGGAGCTCGTGGGAAGGGTGAGAGAGTACCCTCTCGAGCACGCCATCTTCCAGGATCACCGAGGAGGACTCCTCTCTGTAGATGGCACCTGCATAGATGGGCATCAGCAACGTTACTTGCATCTAGTGGCGATACAACATACCGGGCTCCTCGACCATGCCGACCTTCTTGCCGACTTCGAGAACGGCGAGGTTTAGCTGGGCCAACGTGTCCAGCTCGGCTACCGCCGAGCCAGATGCAGACCACATGCTGTTGATCTGCTCCAGGATCTGGACCGAGTCTTTTCGTTCGTCCCTGAACAGCGGGAGAAAGACGTACGTCTTGATGCCCTCCAGGAGAGACGGCGTCTTGGAGATGGCGGCCTGCACCCAGCGGAGCCACGTCTCGACGCTGAACTGCTCCTCGGCGGCGACGGCTTGCGGGCTCTTCAGCGATCGCTGCCGCAGCGCCCTGAAAATAGTGACGATGAACTTGCCCGCGGTGGGGCAGACGTAGTGCATGGTCATCCAGTCGAGCATCTGGCCGAAGAAGTCCTGCCACAGCCCAATGGCGGACGCCCAGCTGCACGACGGCTGCGTGCGCCGGTAGCTCGCGGCGATGTCGTCGACGGTGAAGACGGACTTGGACGCAAAGTGGTCCATGGCCTTGAGCGACGACTTGAGCAGGGGCTTGGTGGACTGCGGCCCGATGATGGAGATGAGGGTGTCGAGGACGGTCGTCTTGACGGTCTCGGCGGCGGCCGGGTCCGGGTTGCGGCGGATGAGCGAGGGCAGCAGGTCCAGGACCAGCTTCATGGACCGGTGCTGCTCCGTCTCATTCCACTTGATGTAGAAGTTGAACAGCCGCAGGCTGGGCTCTTGGGAGAAGGCCCATTGCCGCAGCGCCGGCTTGTCCGACTTTGAGCTCTGTTCGACAAACCCGCAGAGCTTCACGCAGGAGTTGCCCGAGACGCCCTTGGGCTGGGCGGCCAGAGAGAGGAGATGATCAAACACATCTTGCGCGATACTAAAACAGGGCGAGGGGGGGAAAGAGTGTTAATTCACCTTTACGCTTGGAACACGCAGTTTAGGAAGGGCTAAAGTCTCTCTTACGAAGTCCATGACTCTTCAGGCTGCTCTTCAACCCATTTGAGCAGGTCACTCGGGTTGACGAAGCTCTCGTACTGGGGGGCCGTATCCTGCTTCATCGCTATCTCATAACTTGGGGTTGACGGCTGCCCGGCGAGTGACGCTGAAATTTGAATGAGGGGCACCGAGGGGCACGGGAGAAGCGAATGAGCGCGGTGTATCCGTACTGGCTGCTAGGTACTGAGCCGGTATCAGCAGGGGTGCGATTTTCTCGGCGTGTAAGTGGCGGGACGGCGTGCACCCAAAACTGTGAAATTCCAGCCGGTCCTACATAGAAATATCCCGATGCGAAAGTAAAATGTAAGGCCGTCAAGTACTGGGAAGTCACTATGAGTTTTTCACCGAGTGGCCCATAGGCGCAGACGCAGGCGCAAAACTGTACTTGACTCGGCGCGCCGGCGAAAAGACTCATCGGCGGGCAAGGTACATGGTACCTCGGCGCGACCAATCGCCTGCGTCCCAGGGAACGACACGCGCACGGGCCACGCCACACAAATGTGCCCTAATTGAAAAGAAGTCGCGCCCCGCCAAATTTTCAGTCGCCTCTTTTTTTCTTACTCCTCCAACTCCCCCAACTAACCCATCAACATCTACCGTAAGCACCAGATTCCTGGGAGATATCGCAAAGATGTCGAAAATTACGGTTGCCAACGTTCGCACTCAGGTCGCTGAGCTCCTCGAGTACTCCCTCGAGACCAAGAAGCGCAACTTCCTTGTCAGTCTCCCTCCCCCCCCTCTCTCTCTTCTCGCCGCCGACTCGTGTGTATGCGCGCGCGGCCGAGAGAAGATTTCATGTCGCCTCGGATCAATTGCTAACCCCCTCACAGGAGTCTGTCGAGCTCCAGATCGGCCTCAAGAACTATGACCCCCAGCGTGACAAGCGTTTCTCCGGCACCGTCCGCCTGCCCGTCGTCCCCCGTCCCAACATGAGCATCTGCATTCTTGGTGACCAGCACGATATCGACCGTGCCAAGCACGGCGGTGTCGACGCCATGTCCGCCGACGACTTGAAGAAGCTCAACAAGAACAAGAAGCTCATCAAGAAGCTCGCTCGCAAGTACGACGCCTTCGTCGCTTCCGAGACCTTGATCAAGCAGATCCCCCGTCTTTTGGGTCCTGGTCTGTCCAAGGGTATGTCTCCCTCTCCCCTATGCCGAACCTACGGATCAGCCGCTAACAATCTACGCAGCCGGCAAGTTCCCCACCCCCGTCTCCCACGCCGACGATCTCTCTGGCAAGATCACCGAGGTCAAGTCCACCATCAAGTTCCAGCTGAAGAAGGTTCTCTGCATGGGTGTCGCCGTCGGCAACGTCGGCATGACCCAGGAGCAGCTGATTGCCAACATCATGTTGGCCATCAACTACCTCGTCTCCCTGCTGAAGAAGGGCTGGCAGAACGTCGGTAGCCTTACCATCAAGGCTACCATGTCTCCCCCGAAGCGCCTCTACTAAGTGTGCGGAGCCCTTCTTTCTACGACGGCGTCTGTACTAGATCATCGCTGGGATTGCTTATCTCGAGGGCTTGAGTGCCTATTCGCATAAGCGATCAACATCAATGCGGGACAAACACTACGGGCAATTCGTAGGAAGCTCTGCGCATGGATAAGGAGCCGGTCAATACAATTTCTCCTTTTGCAACAAACCTCAAATCATTTGTGTCAGTGGCTTTTTGCAACGTGAGATGTGTATGTGTAAACTAGTGTTTGTCAACACAGAGTTGCTAAGCTCCTGTGGCCTGATTGTCTGCCAGACGTCATGCTCCGCTGTAGTGTCTTTTCTTCTCTCTCCCTCTACCCTCCCTTGGGTCTTGCAGGCTTGCAGGCTCTCGTGGCGCGTAGCATGCAATTGGACACTGTCATCGAACGACATTGCCATCAACCGACACTGCCAGGTACCAGCTGCCTGCCAAATTTGAAAATCTTTTTCCACGCCGGCACAGCTACCAATAGCCCTGTATGGAGGAGCTGGAAGCCGCCCCGTCGGCACTACCGAGTATCACGAGGCATGGCCTCTCCGTGCTACTTGAAGTTTTAGGGCTCAGTTCTTCTGCCTTGAAATCACCAGCACTTAATGATACCGTCATCATTGCTATCGATTTTGAGGGTATCAACACTATCAAAAGCGGGTTTACTCAGAAGTACAATAGTCAAGTTGGATTTGCGATTCTCGATACCAAGGATTATCGATCGCCAGGTCCCACCAGGAAAGCTCATTTCAACCCTAAACTTTGCTACAGGATCATCATCATATGTCACAAAAGTATTCAATAAGTTTCTCTTTGAAGAGAGACAATTACGATTCAATCGTCGTCCATGTTACAAACCATTCAATCACGCATTCCTCACGGTCGCAATGTGGTACTTGTGGGCCACGGTATCCGGAACGAACTCTAGGATTTACAAGCTTTGGGATTCGAGTTTGAACGGCCACCTCCTGGGACTCTGGATGCGTCGCGCATTGCTAATGAAGTGTTTTAGTTCCGGGGCGGCTCTCTCGGCGATCAACTGGGCGTGCTAGGGTGCCCTTTCAACAGACTGCATGTTGCTGGAAACGATGCCAACTTCACTTCAAGGGCTCTTCTCCCCTTAGCAGTGAATTGGTGCATCATTCAACACCAAGACGACGAGGGATTGGACATCTTGCAGGAAATTTCAACCTGCCCCATTCCTCCTTATGTCGACCCAGAGATTAAAGCGGCAGAAAGGCGGGAAAAGAGGCTGCTAAGGAGTCGGAAGCACCAGTCAAAGCTATGGAGGAAAGGGGCTACCGCCGCGCCTAGGAAGCATCCACCCTTTCCACTTCCGCGCAGCCCTACGCCGCCTTTTCCTCAGCTACCACACCACGTTGCCGCATCCAGGCGATAACGGCACGTTCAGTCTTAGTTACTCGGGGATTCGGAAGTCGGTGCTCCTCCAGCCGAAGGGCTCCGGACTGAGCAGTGCATTCCATGTCTGCCGGACGAAGAAGTCAGCTTTCAGCAAGCCCCCTATAGTACTTCCGCATTACTGGCAGGGGATCCAGACGGAGGAGGCTGCTGCGCGAGCGCTTCGTACAAACCCCTCACGGCGGATCGGCATAACAGACGATTTGTTAAACATCCGATTAGAGGTTGAGGCTGATATGCTTTTTTCCTAGGACACACTATTATATAGTTGTGGGAACACAGCAATCGTTTACATGGAAACGGATGGTCTTGTTCTGCTGTGTTAGTATAGCTGGATGCCTGGATGGGAAGATAGCAATCGTTTACTGTTGGCATATGGGTAATGCGGCTGGAGGCGGTGGGTCATGTGACACACTGCCTACTGGCAGAATCCCTATCTTGCCCACACGCAAGGGTGCTGCCACACTTATACTCCTACTTTACCTTGTTAACTAGTTAACTATTAATAACTACAAATTTAACTACCTTTTCCTAACCTTTATAATATTATAAGATATAGGATCCTATTAATTAACTAGTGAAAACTAATATTAATTAATAGTTAATTATTACTAATAACTAGTAATTAATAAGGCTTACTATTATAGGAGTTTACTTAGCTTACTATAACCTAGTAGACTACTAACTAAGTTAAGTATTATTAAGGCTACTTTACTTCTACAAGAAACACTATAGTGTCTATTATACTATTAGAACCTCTTTAATAAGTAAGAATCTCTTTTATACTAACTATAGCGCTATTAAGAAGAGATACTTAAGTAGTAATAATTACTACCTTATTTAACTTTCCCTTTTATCTTTATATTTACCCCTTTAGAAAACTATTCTTATTTACTTTATATACACAAAAATAACTTAGCACTGTCTAGACTTATAAGTATAAGTTATATTAGGAAGAAACTTACTACTTAATTACTACTATAAAAGTTATATAGTAATTACTATTAATTAACCTTAATAACTAACCTTATAATAAGTTAATTTAGTAGTACTTTATACCCTAAAGTGCCTACCTTTATAGTAAAATATATTAACTATAAGAAGTATAGCTAAGAAATCTTTCTTAATAAGTAAGACCCTTTTACTATTTACTTCTACTTTACCTATTATATAGCTAAATAGGCTAAATATACTTTTATAGGTTATAAGCTCTAGAGGGACTTTTAATATTACTTTAATAGATAAGATAAAGCCCTCTTTAG